GAGGAAGCTGTGGGTGCTGTATCTCAGACCTCTGTGGCAGCTGTGGAGGCGCATCTAGGGCAAGGAGGAGTCCTTCCCCTTCTCTTGCAGAAACTGTAGGGCGCCCTCCTCCTGCTGGCACCTGAGCCAGGTGGGAGTGGCAGTATTATCTCACTCTTAAAATTTAGGGGATGACTATTTGTGTATGTATCTGCTTGTCTTTTGTTGATAGTCTTGTACGTTTTCATATTTCATTTTCTTAATGTTTTATGACTTGTTTTGTGACCTAACATATGGTCTGTGCTTGAGAATGGCCTGTGTGCTGAGGAAAATAATGTGTGTTCTGCAGCTCTTAGAGGGTGAAATACTGTGTAAATATGTATTCGATCCCTTTGGTCTATAATTCAGATTAAGTTCATTGTTTCTTAATTTTCTCTGTGGAAGATCTGTTCAATGCTGAAAGTGGGGCATTGACGTGTCCAGGTATTATTATATGGAGTTCTAGCTCTCTAACTGTAGTAATATTTTCTTTATATATCTACGTGCTTCAGTGTTGAGTGCATATATATTTACAATCATTATGTCTTCTTGCTAAATTGACCTTGTCATTATCTAGTGGCATTCTTTGTCTTTTCTAATAGTTGTTTTAAAGTTTATTTTGTCTGACATAAGTATAGTTATTTCTGCTTTTTTTTTTTTTTTGGTTTCCATTGGCAGGGAATCTTTTCCATTCCCTTATTTTCAGACTATGTGTGTCTTTGGAGGTTAAGTGTGTTTCTGTAGGCAACAGATAAATGGGTCTTATTTTTTTTTTTATCCATTCTGCCACGTATGTCTTTTGATTGGCGAGTTCAGTCCATTTACATTCGTTGTTATTATTGATAAGTAAGGGCTTGTTCTTACTATCTTGTTTTTTGGTTGCTTTGTGGCCTTCTCTTCCCTTTTTTTCCTTCCTGTCTTCCTTTTAGTGAAAGTGATTTTCTCTAATACACTTTTAGTACTGGGTTTGACACATGAAATCGTAAGAGCAAATACTGGAACACTATTGATATTATTAGTCTTGCAGCTACTGAAACCATCTCCAGCAATCTTTCTCTGCTCCTGAACATGGAGTAAGGGCCTGGGTGCCCCTTATTCAAAACAATGTAGACTCTGAGAATCAATCATTTCTGTGCACTGTTTGCACCAAGTGCTTTTATGCCAAATCTAACTTGGCCAATATAGTTTCAGACTGTTTTCTCTGTGAAATTTAACGTATTCTTCTCTCATTCAATACCGTGCTTATAGACTCTGTGTAGGGGAATTCTGGGCAGGTAAAGGTAGTGCAGCCTAGGCACAGTTCTATCTGGTTTTCCCTGAGCACCTTAAAGAAACTCCAGTGGGGGACAGGTCTGTGATGCTAGCATAATTGCTGAAGTTCCTCTGTCTCTTTGAACTTCCCTCCAGGACATTCCCTCCGTGAGCCTTTCTCTCCCCTTCCTCACCATCTGGTTTGCTCTGATGCCTACACCTGCCGTGCTTCTGGACATCTGCGACAACCCTGCTGTGAAGGTCTCAGGTACAGAACTTAGTCTTACGTGGAAGAAAACACAGGGCTTCCCAAAGGTCTTACTGCAGGTTTAAACTGTGATGGTGTTAGAAGTATAAATACTACAAACTTAGAAAAGGCCACATCGTAAAGGATAATAATTTAAACATTTAAGATACTAATATCTTTGCTATGGACATTCAAGCCAACCACTGTCTTGTGCTAGTGGTTCTAATCCATTTTCAAACTGCAAACACGGAGAAGCAGCCACGGGAAGGTTGCCTTTGAAGATCCTCCAAAGAACATCCCGCGACGGAAGGTCTGATGGAGACTGCCAGTGAACGACAAGGCCTCTGCCATGCTGCGGCTCTGGATGAACATCTGGACGCTGTCTCACATGCAGCCTAAAAGCTGAAATGTAATACTCCAATCTGCAAAGCTGAAGAATGTGGAATATTTAAATAAACTTCCAAATGATGAGTTCTCTAAGTCTGCAGCATTTATACTTCTGATTTGGGACACACTGTAGATAGCTCAATACTGAGCTATATATCCAAACCAAAAGGTCAGAGGATGAATAGCGAATAACACAAAGAAGTAAAAAAAAAATAAGAAAGATAAAAACAGATTTATAAACTAGAAAGCAGATAAACAATAAGGGAAAACAGTACTCTGAAAATCCTAATAAAATAGGTTGAATAATAGGCAAGTGTGTTCAATAAAAATATGTGGGAATATAAGCACAGGTACCTATGTCTTAAGATAACACTTTAAGAATAGTATTCAAAACCAATGTAGACTCTGAGATCCAATCATTTGTGTGCACTGTTTGTACCAAGTGCTTTTATGCCAAATCTAACTTGGTCAATGTAGTTTCAGACTGTTTTCTCTGTGAAATGTAACATATTCTTCCCTCATTCAATACTGTGCTTACAGACTCTGTGTAGGGGAATTCCCGGCCGGTAAAGCTAGTGTAGCCTAGAGCTTGGCACTTCCTCAGTCACTCCCTATCGCCTCCCGCACAAACAAAAGAAATGCAGATGAGAACTAGGCCAGGACAAATCTAGACTCCAAAGAATGACAGGACACCTGCAGGAGAACTCCGTCACAGGTGGGAGAAGAGAGGAAGGAGGACGGTCTTGCCAGGCAGAGCTGGGGTCAGTTCACCCACACAAGAGATGGCCCCTGGACCCTGGAGGGGTTTTTTTCCCCATGCTCATTGGTGGGTGAGGGGCTGCGCAGGGCCGGGCCTGTGAACTCTCCAAAGTGACAGGTTGAAGCTCCCTCCCAGGACCAGGCCCCATGCCGCATCGGCCCTGAGAAGAAGCTGCTGGGGAGAGTCCGTGCGGTGCAGACGAGTTGCTACTGGGAAGAGAGGGCTCAGAGTGGGCGGGGGGACAGAGCGGAGGTCTCAGGAAGGAAGGACACACTTGGGAACCAGTGAAAACCACAGTGGAGGGGCCTCCAGAGCTGTGAAGCTGGAAGAGCTTCCTACCCTAACGTCAAGGAAACAAATGTCCCCTGCAAAGGAGCAAGAGAAAAGGACTGTGCATCAATCCAACACCGAATGTGGCTGGTGAAAATGAGTAAGGGGCGGGGTTGTGGCCTTTGAGACTGTCAAAGTTTGCCAGAAAGATATGCTCACCAATGGGTGGAAACCATAATCCAGTGTTTCAAAATGCAGTAACGTAAATTCAGAAAAAATAGAAGACATGAAAGAACAATAAAAATCAGAATTAGAAAACTCAGAAATGAGTTAGCATTCAGGAAATTAGCGAAAAAGTAAAACATGGTTTCAGAAGGGATGACTCAGTCAGAAGGACAGTAAAGGAACAAATGTCACAGATATGGCAAGGCAAGGGGTCACCTTACTGACTGGGCTAATCGACCCAGGTCAGCAGAACGAGGAGGCTGTTGCCACCCAGCCAGGCGGGGAAGAAAATGTTGGTGCTCAGGGGATCACCCCTCTTTGGTGCTTGGTGCCTCATGTGAATGACAAAGAGGCAAAGCTGCAGCCAGGACCTGAAGAGAGCTTGAAACCAGGACCTTGGGCCCCTCAGCTTCAGGGTCTAGCTGACCCCGCCAGGGCTGCTGGCCAAGGGAGAAGGGATCTCGTAACGGTGCCAGAAGGATGGGTGATGAGTCTCACTTTGGCCTTGAAACCAGCTGCAGGGGGGCCTGTAGCTCCTTTCCCTTTCTTCTTCCCTTGCAAGAGAGGTAAGGCCTCACAAGCTTACTGTAGAAATCAGTGTCCAAGAGTAGACAGCGATGGGTAACGCAATCTCCTAGGATTCCCTCTGGACTCCCACATGCCCATGGCTGGCCCTGTCCCTCAAAGGCAAAAACCCCCAGCCTGCAAGGAGGTGCCTCGTGAAAGGTTAAGTCCTTGCCCAGGGGATGGCTATGACAATGGCTTGCTGGAATGGGATCCAAACACCCCTGGCTTAGCTTGGGATAAAGGGAGGGCTACCCCAGCTCCAGGGCTCAGTTGCAACTGCAGCTTCTCTCTGCCTGGTCCTGCCTTCCTCCGTGACCTGTATAACCTGTGATCACTGCCCGAAAATGACCTCATGTGACTGTGTCTCAGAGCTTATCTCTAGAGAAGCCAATCTAAGGTAGCAGCAGGCTGCTTGGCCAGGGTGGGCGGCCTTTGAGCCTTAGCATGTTGTTATGTAGAGCCTGATGATCCCTGATGGTGTCAGATAAAGGAGGCTTGAGGAGGGTGAGAGACCCCTTTGCCCAGGTCTCCCAGCCCCACAGTGGCTGGGCCAGGACCAGAAGCCAGGCTCTGGCATTCTCTGTGTGATTTCCAGTCCGCACACGCAGTTCTGGAAGGAATGCCTTCTTTGGCCAGCACTTTTTCCTGCAATATGTTCGTCTCTTAACACATTTGGAGGCTTTTGCCTTACACCCTGGAAATTGTTTTCTTGAGGAATATTTCAATTCTGGTATCCTCTAATCTGTACGTTTTCTTCTCATGAGCATTTTCCTATGCCTCATCTTTTCTACATGAGCTACAATTTGCTTTCTGGAAATTCCTTGTTGACTTTTTTTTTTTTTTTTTTTTAAAGAAAGAACTCACAACCAGATATGCACCATGATTCTTCCTGCTGTTGGGAAATTAGACCTTCGTGCAAGAGTTCCACTAAGTGGTTTGAGTTTATTGTTGCAGTGACGGATGCAGTTTATCTCTGCAGGGGGAAGCGTGCTGGCTTTCGCCGTGTAAGAATAAATATGCACTAATTAATTCTGTGCAAGACACAACATCATTTGAAGTCTGCTACTTTTTTAAAGCTCCATATTCACTGTAATAGTTTCCTTTTTGGAAATTATTTATTAGTTGTTTTCTGTTTATATGAGGAAAACAAAACAAAACAAAACCAGCAAGAAGTGGATTCTTATTTCAGTTGATTAAAAAAAACACTGTACACTGTATCAAAACAATCCGTTTTCTATTTCATGCAAAAAAGCAAAATAAGGAGTATTCTTAAAATGACTTTGCAGGATGTGCTTTATTTTAAGTCAGCCCTGAACCCAAACTACACAGGATCAATTTTTGACATATTCTAGTCCATTCAATGATTCTTCTCAGAAACTGTATCTTAATATGGAATGAAAACTACATTTCAATCATAAATTTTTCATGCTACATTGTTATTTAATGAAGAGGTTGTATTACCAATAATAATAATTTAAGAAAAGGCCATTTTTATTTCCCCAAGCTCAATATACATATTTCTTTCATAATTATGAACTTAAAAAACCCGTCTCAGATGTAAAAATGTGAATTGGAATATGTAAACTCTTTGATATACCTGAAAAACAGGAAGGAAAATGTCACATACTGGAAAAACCATTGCCTTAAATCATGGAAATGGGAAAAAGCACACTGAGGGACAGGGAAGGCAGAAGAGCGGTCCTGACCTCAGTTATTAAAGAGTTACAAAGTATTCCAGGTCCCACTGGGCTGGCCTTTTTACTCTTCTGCCTCACGTCGGTTTGCACAGGAGACCGCAGCCCTCCAGAATGGTTCCCCTCATTGAAGCCGGTCACTGCTGGACCACAACAAAGCAGGTGTCCACATCATTTGTTTTGCTGCTTATTTTTTTTTTTTTTTTTTCCTGAGAAGTCACTGGTGTTTAATGGAAAGGTATCTTATTAGTCCTCGGTTAAGATAAGGCAGTAAGAGTATCACTAATGTTATGTTTTTGCTTAGAATGAGGCTGATCCTTCCACTGGCATCTTCATGGGCAATTAGTTCCCTCTCTTTTGCCCCTAGAAACACAGGTAGGAGCTGTCTGCTCCCTATTGCTGTTGCATATTCTGAGTGTGTTGAAGGCTCATCTAGTCTCATAACAGCAGCTTCCCCATGGGGATGGAGCACTGCATATTGCATTGTAGCGTCTCTCCAGGAAGGGCACGGGCCCACAGAGGAAAATACAGGCATCTTTCCTTCTGACTCCTCTTCTGTTTCTCTTATGGACGGGGCCCATACATGATTCCTTCACATGGTCAATCAGAATGCAAGACACTGTTGACTAAAACGTAAAGCAAGTAGCCCTGATTTCAGAGAAATGGAGTTACAAATAACATTTTCAACAGTGCCTTAACTTGCAAGGTAGCTTTTACTGCAAAAGGATGTCAGCTCCTTTTGTCTACCTGTCAGAAGAGAAACAAATCATTTCCATTGAACTAGAAATGCTTAGCTCTTATGAGAATATTGTGCTTTTAAAAAAAATTCAAATGTTAACATTATTTGCAGTCTGTGTTCTAAGGTTTCAATTTGTTTTTTCTCTAGTCCATTTGATCATTGTCTCTGGTGAGCGATACAGGAATATTAATTTGGCATAGAGATCTTCTTCTAGTTCCAGTTCTCCTGTCTCTCGAACTAAAAAAATATCTGTGCACAACTTCAAAATTCGATCCACATTTGGAAGCTCTTCAAACATGATGGAGTGAGAAATCCCACTGAAGAATTCTCGGACAAATTTCCCAATCACAAGCACAACGGAAGCATATAATCCCATAATACTGAAAAAAAACAGTAAGTAGAAATCGCATATAGCAGTTAAATATAGTTAATAAAGCATGTCTAAAAGAAAAAAATATTATTTTGTCTCAAATTCCATAGAAGAAATAAGCGTATCAAATCTCACATTTTTTCCCTTTGGTTAAAAAGGTGACTTTTTATAATAGAATTATTATAAATAGAAAATAGAATTATGTATTACAGAACTGTTAGACTCGAAAAATAAAAGTCCTTTGCAATCTCACATTCTGGAAATAATCAATGCTAACCGTTTCATGTATGGATTTTAGGTGGTTTTATTGCATACATTAAATGCATAAATCATATATTTGGTAGAAATGTGATTATATATGATTTTCTGTGGCAGGCTCCTTTCTTTTTAGCAATGCTGTCTCTCAGATACTGTCTCTCAGATTAATTTTTTATAAAATTCTGGGTGAAAATCATTTCTTATGAGGCTAACTTTGAGAAATATAATATTTTATATTTGTGTCTTGTGGGGATGTGCGTGTTCTAGGATTTAAGCATCAGAACATGATGCGATGGTTCAGAAGTTCAAAAGTGGGATGTCTGATAGATCAATCTGCTAAGGATTAGAAGGAAATCTAAGCAGAAAAGTGGCATTTCTATGCCAGTTTCTAAATGTAAACACTGGATTGCATTAAACTGTGCCATAACAGGAAGACATGGAGTAAAGAAGCCATATGCCTGGGCTGTGTGAGTCACACTGGGCATTTTGATCTCTTTGGGACTCTGGTGCCTAATTTTTTGAAATGAAGGGCCAAGGACGTGTGCATTTTAACATTGCAGCTCTAAAATTAGTGAATTCTAAGAAGACAAAAGGTTTCCCACTCTCAACTTTATATGATACAGAAGTAGACTCTTGTAACTGTGAAGTGTTCAATGAGTCCTTACCCATAACCAGCCAGGAACCCCAGACTTGGGGGACTGACTTTGTCATTGAAGACCACCAGTTCCAGGGCCTGAGAGTTCGGATTGTATATTCTGTTTCCAGTCAGGTTGAGAACCCACCACTCACTGTTAAATTTAGTTGTATTGTCTCTGGACAAAATGATGGTTATATCCATGAAATTATTTTCTGGAAGGGTAGAAACACAAAATCAAGTCAGCATGAGAATTTTAGGATTTAATGCAAAAATGTTTTCAGATGGCAAAATCTGGTTACTAACTGTAGCCTACGGTTCCAGGATGAAAAGGATGCATGGACATGCTAAAAGTGGGAATGGACAAGGAAGAGTGGGTCTGGGTATCTCAGTGATTTTTCCTTTTCAATGAGAGAGGTCAGCTGCTGTTGCTACATGGGCATGGCAGCAAAACCACAGGGCAAAAGTGGAGGATCCACCACCTAAGCAGCTGAGCTGGTAATCCCAAATGACTCTGTAGACACTTAAAAACCCACATCGCTGACTTGTGATTGAATCAACCAGTCCATTCATATTAGCAGCATCTGTTGAATGTCTCATGGGAGGAAGGCACTCAATTAAGTGCTAAAGGGCTCCAAAATTGCATATAACATTGTTCCTTATCTCCATGGGAAAAGACTATGTACATGAGCACAATTTATGAGCACATGACAGCCACCATAGGACCAGCATTGACAAGGTCTGTTGGCTTAGAGACACCACTTCTGGATAGTATGCTCCATGGGTGCCTCACAGAGCAGATAACTTCCGAGCTGAGATTTGCCAAGTGAGAACTTCAGTAGGTGAAGTTGGGTGAGGAGGGAAGCTCATTTCAGGCAGGGTGATGGGACACAGCTCAGCAAATCTCTGAGAACCATAATGTCGGGTCAATGATTACTTTTATTGGAGTTCAGGGTGAATGCAAACGAGTTGTAAAAGATACAGTAAAAAGCCTGTAGTGACATCGTATAGGTCTTTTTAAGAAGATTCCACTCCTGCCAACAATACTGGTGCTTCCCCTGAGAAACATGGTGGTGACTATAAACTAAACTCTGTGACGGTGGGAGCCACATCAGCATCATTTCATACTGAATTCCTAGATCATGGGTGTCCAATCTTTTGGCTTCCCTGGGCCACACTGGAAGAAGAAGAATTGCCTTGGGTCATGCAGGAAATATACTAACACCAAGGATAGCTTCTGAGCTAAAAAAAAAAATCATACAAACAAATCTCATAATGTTTTAAGAAAGTTTATGGATTTGTATTGGGCCATATTCAACACTGTCCTGGGTCACAGGCAGCCCATGGGATGCGGGTTGGACAAGCTTGTCCTAGATGGTAGGAATCCAAGAACGGTACTTGACAAAAAATGTCTATGGCATGGAAGGATGAATCAATGAAGAAGAGTAAGGCACAGTATGGTCCTGCTAGAGCCAAAGTCCTTATGAAGGAAGAAGGCGAACCATGCAGAACACACAGGAACAGGAGGAATGTTGGTTCTGAAGTCGGGAGACAGCTGTAAGGAGGAAACACAGGAACCTGCAGCACAGAGTCACCTCGGGAAGAGCTTGTGGAGGGACAGAATTATTTCATGGGGAATGACTGATTGTTGAGCAATCTGCATGCCCAGATGAAACATTTCTACAACTATTCCTGACTGAAAGGGAAATAGCAAATTTCTTAATGCGTCTTGCAAATACCTTGCAAGAGATACTTATTTACTGCTGAGGAAGAAACATGTGTGATATGGAGCCTGGCCTTTTGCCCATCCCCAGGGCCCTCCACTGGGCCTCTACCAGGCCAATCTCTGTGTGGCTTTCCAACTCTTCACTTATGTCTGCGTCTTTCTAGCTAAACACAGCAGCACGGAGCCCAGGCTCCAGTGCCTGGCCTATTGCCTACTGCGTAGTGAACGGCCCATGTTGGAGAATGAATGAATGTGTGCCAGATAACTGCACTGGTTTTCCACGTTGTCCAGATCTATACATCTGCTTCTGGTTCAAGTCATGGAATCAAGCAATTCTTGATAATTAATAGAATCCAGAAACATGAATTTATACCATCCAAGTTGTATTGGGAAAATTAAATCACTAAAGTGCCTCTAGAGATACTTACTAATCCTTGGGCAGAATCAAGTGCATTTCATGCTATCTTTTTATTGTTCTTATTGTGAGGGGCAGACATATTTAACAATGCATGAGGCAGTTTCCTGTCAGTAATCTGGCTGCTAATAGAAACAAGTCTATAATCTGATGAATCAGTACTATAAGAAACTTGCTGTGAATTTAAGTCAATCAAGTTTCATATCAATGAAAAAGAGAAAATGAAGAATGTGGGTCCCAACTGAATGAGTGACTCCTTTGGGCTAGTGAAGGCAGGCAGAGGTTTTATACGTCTTGTCACACAGGAAGAGATAACTAAAAAGTAGTTTGATGAAGGCCCAAACACACACTGTTGAAATTGAATAAAACTAGGATTGAAAACAATTCTGAAACAAATTTTTCTCATTCTTACCAGATAAAAGTTGCTTTATAGGTTTTGAGTTAGAATCACTAGGTGCTTTCACATAATATGGATAAATCTTTTCTATGGTCCTGTACATTAAGAAAAAAAAAGATATAATTACATTTTAATTGTTTTACCCACTAAAATTGATTTTTTATTGTTATTGTTGACCTTGTATCACCAAATAATGGTGAAAATTTCATATATCTGTACAATGTGTAGACATCATAATTTATGGGTTCCTATTACAATCAAAACTCTCTGATGTGGAGCAAATTCACTGAGCTTTATCCGGATCTGCATGTAAGTCTGTACGACAAGCTCGGTGCTGGCTTACAAACAGCCACAGGCCTTTTCCAAATTCTGCAGCTTGTTTCTGAAGCTAAGGGGCACTCTTTCTTACTAGGATCCTCTAATTCTTATCCATACCATTGAGCACACTTCGTATTTTAATTTTTAGATTTTCAAACATATCTATAATCAGGCTGATATGGTTTGACTGTGTCCCCACCCAAATATCATCTTGAACTGTAGCTCCCATAATCCCCATGTGTCATGGCAGGGACTGGTGGGAGACAAGTGGATGATGGGGGCAGGTTTTCCTCCATCATCATGCTGTTCTCGTGATAGTGAATAAGTCTCATGAAATCTGATGGTTTTATAAAGGTCAGTTCCCCTGCACACGCTTCCTTGCCCACCGCCATGTAAGACGTGCCTTTGCTCCTCCTTTGCCTTCTGCCATGATTGTGTGGCCTCCCCAGCCATGTGGAACTGTGAGTCAATTCAACCTCTTTCCTTTGTAAATTACCCAATCTCAGGTAAGTCTTTATTAGCAGTACGAGAATGGACTAATACACAAGTAGACTACATGAACTGATCTAGAGGGGAGTGAGAAGTGAAGAGAGATGGTGGCCTGGACCTCGAGTGACCTCTGCGTCCCACAAGCCCAGTGCCTTGAATACATTCTTGAGTAGACAAGCCTTCTCATCTGGGAAGTGATGGGAAAGGATCTGACGATCTCCAAGGGCCCTTCAACTTTAGTGAGTTGCAAACCATATCTCAGTCTGGGAATACTTCTAAGGCCTGCACCCTGGTGATCTGTATATTCCATGCATTACAATGGGGCCAGGGCAGTCTGAAAGACAAAACTGAGGGCATCACTGGTGGATGCCTGAACTATTATGTTTAGCAGTTTTAGATCCGTATCATTTTTTTCTTGCTAGTTCATATATTAGAATCTAAACATATCAGCTTGCATCTGTTGGAAGTGGAGTACTTAAGTGGCAGGATAATATTTTGAGATATGTAATATTTTTTTCCCAAATTTCCTTTTACCCTTTGTACTCCTTAACCCTGTATGCTCTACCCCCATTCAGAGACCCAGGGGCAGGAATAATAGTAGAAAAGGGTCTCACAGGGTCTTTGCCTGGCTTTTGGTGATTATGGTCAGCTAAGAGCAAGGTTTGTCATCCAGAGATGAGATCAATACTTTTTGGGCCAGGTGGACAGAGAGTGGGAGGAGAATGTGCTTGACACTAGTGGCTCCCTAAGAAGGAACCTTGAGCCCACCTCCTTCCACTGAGGGTGAACGAGTGAAGTGGGTGCCCACGATCAGGTGGCAGACACGAATGACAAGAGGCTTGGGTCATTTTAGTGCAGTCCCATGTCGCATTCCTGAATAGGGCCCTTAGAGGCACCAAGAGCCCAGTACCCCCAGGGGCGAATGAGGTACCACTGGGCACATATTATATTGGGTCAGGTGAACCCAGGTGGACCTGCCGGAGCTCCCACACCTCCAAATTGCATGAAAATCAGCATGATGATTTCTAGTGTGCCTCAGAATGGGTCCCAGTAGCTGAGGGAGACAGCTACTCTGCAGACTAAAGACAGAACTGGAAGAATAATGTCTCTCTCAATGGAAGCCCAGCAGGCCAGCACTTTCCATGCACTGATGAGCTTCCTGGAGCCTGGCACCACACAAACCCTCATTCATTCGTTTTTAATTATTTATTTGTTTATTTATTTTTCAGATGGAGTCTCGCTCTGTTGCCCAGGCTGGAGTGCAGTGGCTCGATCTTGGCTCACTGCAACTTCTGCCTCAAGGGTTCAAGCGATTCTCATGCCTCAGCCTCCCAAGTAGTTGGGATCATAGGTATGCACCACCACACTTAGCTAATCTTTGTATTTTCAGTAGAGACAGGGTTTCACCATGTTGGTCAGGCTGGTCTTGAACTCCCGACCTCAGGGCATCCACCTGTCTCAGCCTCCCAAAATGCTGGGATTATAGGCATAAGCCACCGTGCTTGGCCCAAACCCTCATTCAGAACATAGACATAACCCTGGGGACAGTGGACAGAAAACTCCACAGCTGAGATTAAGTTTCTGTAATCTTGCAAAATGGGGCCTCCAAATAGAAATTAACTTTGTGTCACCAAAGAATGAAGTTGCATTCCTCATACACATGAATCTGTAGATGGACATTTTGGATCAGCTGCATATACCTAACAAAGCTCTATTAGTAAGAAAAATAAACTTACACTGGTGTTTTTGAACTTTCTGTGCTGTTGCCCGCTATCATTTTAGCGATATTCTTTCGAGTAATATTTTTAAGAGGAAAAGAAAGCTTATCTGTTGCTATTTCCGATTTTGCACCCAGACTTAAGTTTCTGCAAAGAAAAAAAAAAGCTTAATGTCAATGATTATTCAGAAGTCTGGAAAAGAGATTTACAACATATTTAACTCTTAATTTGATTAATGTCACCATGCTTTCATTGGGTGCACAATTGTCAATCCCGACCCTTTCAGTCCACTTCACCTCAATGCTCAGCTTCTTAGACAATTGAGTTAATAGAGCCCAAGGAGGCCACGAACACTTTTAAAACAGAGTCGAGGAACCTGCTGATCAAAAGAGAACCCATCTTGATGTTTTAATATGAGTTTATAAAATATTCTTTTATCAACCCAATGATGTTAGTCTCCACGATGATAAACAGACTCCATGTGTTAAAAAGAATATTCAGTCAGAAATTGAATTTTAATTGTTTTGTTGGTTTCTATTTTTTTGGTAGCTCTTTAAAGAAAAGGCTAGAAAGTAAATTTTTGGTAATTTATACAGAGTTGGACATGAATTTGGGACACTGAAAAGGAGAAAATGGGATTGACAGAGTTCTTTACATTCTGAACAGCCCCACTTTGAATTTTTTAAAACTATTTCCTTGTAAATTTTAGATGCTAGAAGGCATTGTTCTGTAACTGTCATGCTTCTTTCTTAATTCTAACAAGTCGGTCTCATGGACCCAAATGAACCTACTATTTGCCTGCCCAAATAAGCTTGCTTAGGGTTCTAAATCTCAAAACCGTGATGAAAGAACTAAGTTAATCAACTGGTGTATTATGTTGAGGTTCCCAAAACTGCATCACTAAACTATCAGGCTTTGGATGCAGTATTTGGATGTGAGAACTTCTGCTAAGATATGCGCTTTCTACCAACACAAGGAAAAACAAAGCAGGGGCCACGTGCGGACCACTGGCTCGGGCTGGGCAGAGAGAACTCTCAGGAAGTCTCTCCCTTCGGAGACAGCCGAGCTGCCCTCGCATCTCACACTTGGGAAGCGGGTCAGGCAGGGCTTCCCCAGTATCGGTGGAATGCAAGTGATCATTTGGGCCTCCAGAGGCTGCAATTTCTTTTTCTTTCTTTCTTTTCTTTTATTTTTTTTTTTGAGACGAAATCTTGCTCTGTCACTCAGGCTGGAGTGCAGTGGCATGATCTCAGCTCACTGCAACCTCTGCCTCCCTGGTTCCAGCAATTCTCCTGCCTCAGCCTCCTGAGTAGCTGGGATTACAGGTGTGTGCTACTACCTTCTGGCTAATTTTTGTATTTTTAGTAAAGACGGAGTTTCGCCATGTTGGCCAGGCTGGTCTCAAACTCCTGGCCTCAAGTGATCTGCCCACCTCGGTCTCCCAAAGTGACAGGATTACAGGTGTTAGCCACCGCAATCGGCCTGAAATTTCTTTATCATTAAGACCAAACTTCAGCCTTTCGTGGAAGTTGTAAAACTCACCCAGACTGTTTCATTTTGTAAATCATCACCTTGCCTCTCTTCTCTCTACCTCTCTTTCTTGCTCACAGAACTCACTGCCAGCCTCTCTTTAAAAACTAAAGTTATTATCTAGAATAATCCAACATTAAAATATGAAATTTATTTGGATTTCAGTTTAAAAGGAGCAGGATTTTGATTTTTTGGAGATTTATAGTTACATTCAAATTTTTTTTTGCATTGAAAAAAATTTTAGATTTTCTGAAAACCACATATTAATTTAAATCGACTTTCAAATCACTTGATGCTCTGCCTTCATTTCTTAGTGTTTATGTGAAAGCACGTGGTCAGTTCTCTCTGCATTAGAGCTAGGCTTTTTGTCTCCAGTGGGCATCGTTCACTTCCTTTTCCACGGAAGATTATGGACAGTGAAATGTAAGATGCATGAGGAAAATCTAAGTGGAGAGGCTCCCTGTGGTAGATTTATAATAGTGATGTAAGTGATACACGAGGGAGGTGTTCAGAGTAATACTCTTTTGCATTATAGTAAGAAACATTTGAAATTTAAGTGTTGTTTCACCAATTGTACATTAAGGTAATAAAATACAATGGATTTTTAAATGCAAAAATAAACAACAACAACAACAAACCCCAAAACCAAAAAACTAAAGTTAGCTACAAACAACAAAAAAGGAAAACTAAGAAGTTCTTAGTCTGGTTAGTGATTCCTAGGCAAGTCATTATTCAATAAACAAAAATGTTAGCTTTGGCATTGAAGGTAAGTTCCCAAGGCTGTAATGACAAAGTAAGATCCACATTAATCTAAAGTTTCCATTCCTCCATCCCATCACACCCTCCATCCCCCAACTCCATGTTTAGACTGGGGGAAGGGATAAATTATGCATGGAAATACAGTAACTACCTCTGAATACTCCATGAAAAAACAACAGAGAAGCTACTATTGGGGTCCAGGAGTTCGTGTATCATTTTCTGCTTACTGGGTGGGCTGATGGTCCACAAAGAATTTGAGTTTCCTTCCAGTTCTGCTACTGTTATGTCTTCTTTTTCATAATTTTCCAGAAATTGCATAGCACCCTGTATGTGCACAAATGCACATGCATAAATAGATTATATGCATCATGCTGTATAAAGAAAGCAGTTACTCTTCCTTTTAACCGGCAGTATGGAAAAGGTTTCTCCCTTTGAAGGGAATATTTTTATAATGGATGGTCTTGAGTGTTCCATCGCACTAATTTGGCTTCCTTACCCACAGGTATGGGCAGTTTCCAGTTACATTACCCAATCCCGGCGGTTGCTACCATCAATACAGCTGTGGAATCATTCCAGTTAAATGATAAAGGAAAAACAGATAATTTAGTGTCATTTTTCCTTTCCACTAAAAAGGAAATTTATCACCTATCGGGGAATGTCCCTCTCACGAGAGAGACCAAACTTAATCTGCTCAGGACATCCCAACCCTCTCTGAAGAACTGCTCATTGTTCCAGATTAGTGTTGACCGTGTGCATTATAGGTGACAATTTACAGAAGAGAGAAGCATCTCCTTCCTATTCACTCTCTTCAATAAAAAAAACTATTTGTAAGACAAATTTTAATGATGAGGATTATGTTATATTATTAAAAGTGTGGAATATAGACAAGAGAATAACATCAGCCATCATCCTGCTACCAGAACATCATCATTATTTTAAGTTTTAGGGGACGTATTTCTTATTTTTTGTAATTTAAAAAATAATAGCCTTTTAAAAATTTATGTTTTAGCTTGAGAAATTGTCATGTCATTTATAGTCTCTGTAATGAATTTTTTAATTACAAAATAAGTTGCTTAGAAAATCTTTGGACAACATGGCACGTAAATAAAATGGAAAGTAGAAGCTCTTTCTCCCATTATGACCACTCTAGGGTATGCAGTGCTAATCGAATTCATTTAATACATCTGCCTTAATTTCCTCAACCAGCTCCTGTTTGCTGAGCTGCAAATTGCCTCCAGTTCTGCTAATACAGAGAATGCACTCATAAGCCAGTGCCTAGATAGAGCTTTCTCATATTTTGAATGACTTCTTAGGACAGATTTCCCAGAGTAGGCCTACTAGTCAAGAGATGAATATATACCACAGTTTAAAAAGTTGAACAATTTTTAAAATAGATCAATATTTAAATGTTTATTACCACTCATGACATAGACATAACTTCTTAGATTATCAAAGTGAATATGCTGTATGTAACTGATCAACCCTGAAAGGTCCTTCTTCCCACTACCTCAAGCATGGAAAAGCATTAAATGACAACGAGTGAGCTCCCCTAGATGAGAGGTCTTCATAGAAATCTACTATAGGGATTTACTTACGGTGTCCCTAGAAAAAGCTTGTATAAATTTATTAAAGTTCTGCTGGTCCATAACTTTTAACTGGCTTTGTTGGGCACTCATTGTGAAAATAGGCTGGAAAACAAAGAGAACAGTGTTGTCAATATTCCCCAGCTCTTCTCTCCATCCTGAGTCAAAAGAAAAACATTTATGTAGGATATTAGCCCATTTATGTAGGATATGTTTATCCCATGACAAATGGCATCCGAGATCTCTTTTTGGAGGGATTATTCCCGTGCTCAAGACCAGAGGGGAACTAGTCTCTCAATGTCTTCGGCACCTCATTTCATACATCACGTGTTTGCTGAGCAGTCAGAATACAGATAGGACAGCGGGATTGGCAGTTCATAACTAAATACCCTACAGGCATCTATCATAAAGGAGTGTGGCTTGGGGCAAGGCTCTGGTAGGCGGGGTGTGCACAAAGATCACCTGATACCCTCCCAGGGTAATTGTGACGGAGACGTCCAGGGGCTGGTTGATGACCCCAGCTACAGATTTGATCAAAGACATGAAGAGAAGAGGAAACCAGACGATGCAGATGAGGAGGACGATGATCATTCCTCCCATACCATACTTCACCACTTTCTTCTTCTTCTGGCCCCGCGGCTGAGGGTATCTCTGCAACAGAGAGTTCAGACAAGGCTCAGGCTCGGGTGCTTTCCTGCAGGCAGCGGGATTAGGGAATGGCGAGTGCTCTTATTGCGGTGCTGGGAACATGGATTTGGCCCTGAATCTTCTCTGTTTGCTCTGAAATGGGGATAGCAACCTTGTCCCAATCTGAAACGAAGTTAGGTAGTGATGTGAAACTGTCCTGAGGTCGCTCCAGCACCCCCTGGTGGTGCCACAGGGGCCAACAGGACTTGAGCGGCCTTCTCCCTTCAAGACTGTGGGTGGGTGTTGCTGGTGATAAACTTATGGACCAAGGGATCAAGTATCCGGCCGAATGAACCTTCTGGTTTTAAGGGATTATGCGAGAGAAAGATACTTTACTTTCAATTCCTGAATATTTAAAATCTGTGCCTTTCAATTGACCCTTCCCTGCCCTTGGAGGGTGGAAAACTATGATTTTTAATTTAATTAATGATACGTGTTCTTAAAGACAATGTTGTTCGAGTCCTAAAGTAAGATTTGTATGGGACAGGCGCAGTGGCTCATGCCTGTAATCCCAGCACTTTGGGAGGCTGAGGCGGGCGGATCACGAGGTCAGGAGATGGAGACCATCCTGGCTAACATGGTGAAACCCCGTCTCTACTAAAAACACAAAAAACTAGCTGGGAGTGGTGGCAGGTACCTATAGTCCCAGCTACTCAGGAAGCTGAGACAGGAGAATGGTGTGAATCCGGGAGGCGGAGCTTGCAGTGAGCTGAGACGGCACCACTGCACTCCAGCCTGGGTGACAGAGCAAGACTCTGTCTCAAAAAAAAAAAAAAAAAAAAAAAAGATTTGTCTGATGAGAAAAGCCCCCTCTGGGCGCTGGCTTCAGGGAATGGGGAGGGGCAGGTGCGTGCTGCAGGGGCTCACTCTCCTACAGGAGCCCGTGCACCGGTAAGGCTGGGGGCGCTTCTGTTTGCTTTAATAGAGATTCATGAAGGACCCACTAAGCCCCCTGCTTAGAGACTATGGACAAGGGGAAGTTGCAGCTGTGCTGTCTGGCATTGAAGCTGTTCCTGTTCTACATGTGTGTTCTTACTTCAGTGTTGCTGCTCCATGACCTCTGTCCTTTCAGCGTTACCCCTCAGGCCAAGCTACATGCAGAACATGGGGTCAACCCCACTCCCCGACGTGGCAGTGTGATTTATCTTCAGGAGGGTTCCATTTGTTTCAGCAGATTAAGATAAGGAAAAATAATCTACCATTTACCCATAGGCACTAGCCGCACATTACAAACCAGGAGAGAGGCCTGGAAGTCAGTACAGGACATGACTACAGTGGCTTTTACAACCCATAAACACAGAGACCACAGTACAACAGGCCCCATCACTGTAACGCTGAAATTCCCAGGGAAAGCTGTAGAACACACCAGGAATCACACAGAGGAGCCTTTTTCGAGGAGGGTATTTTGAGATGAGAGAGAAAGACATTTCATGCCACCCCAGCTAATGTTTGTTGGGTATTTCTATTGCTCTTATGCAACTGACTCTTCTTTCATATATTAAACTTTTGAGAAGTGCAATAAATAATAGTAATCTAGACATATTTAAACCTTAATATTCAACCTAGCAGAATAAGCAGATATTTGCACTTCACTTTTCTTTGCACAAAGAGGTTAAACTGTCCATCCCTCTTCAAAAAGTGAGTCAGAAGTAAGCATGAGTCCAAGCCACCACCAGCCCCACTTTTCTCTACAACATCACATTCTTTTCTGCTCCCAAAGGAGCCATTTAAGAGTTTTTGGGATATATCAAGCAATATACCATTTTTAACAAATAACTACAATACGATGTCTCCAAAAGAAGAAACATCTGGATGCTATTGATGACTATGGCGGCAGTAAGTCTAAAATTCCCAACTCTAGTTGGTTGGAAATCACTGGGACATTTATAGGTTGAGATAGTTTTGCCTCATGCCTTCATTGTGAGCAGAAGCTCACATTCATCTTAAAACCAGCCTGTATCTAAGAGAAGTAGACAGGAATAAGGCACACCTCCTGGTTTCTTACCTTCTCCGACTCCCGCCAACACTTTAGGATGAATATGTGGGCATAGATGTCCTCCACACAGATCCAGCTGGACAGGCTCAAGGTTGTGTCTGTCCACACCCAGTCCATCACTGCCCTCAGCTCAGTCAAAAAGGGCACGAGGCGAAAGCTGGCAGGAAACACATCTCATCAGAGAGACATTCGTAGGTGGCCCCCACCACCCTGCTCACCCGGGAGCTCAAGCAGTTGTTTACTGCTTTAACCTCATGACTCAGAAAAAGTTCTCCTGGTGACCCTTCCAGTAAAACCCAACTTGGAACACAACTGCCTTTCATTATAAGTGGAATCTATGGATTTGTATTTTTTCATTCTTTTCCCTTTCTCTGATTATCATAACCAACTGGGATCTCACTTTTAAATATGTGTGAAGGTGACTCAGCTTCTTTCCTATTTATTTGTTCATGTTACGAGACTCTTGGCCATGGGGTGCTGAGTGACTGTGGCTCTGCTGCTGGATGAGTGAAGCAGGGGTGGTGCACCTGGTAGGTTAAAGATGAGGACAAACGGATGGAGGCAGAGGAAGGAGGAGAGGTTGTGGGGAGCCAGGGTGTGAGGCCCCTCAGCCGCAGGACTTGCTGGAGTACCAAGTTGATGGTCTTGGCTCAGCCTCTGTGGTTCAGTTGTGTTCAGAAGGGATTGGCCTGGGCTCCTCCAGGCTCTGAAGAATTTTCCTTGTCTCTTGACTGATGCAGAACGTCTCCCAGCCTGGAGAACCTGGGTTCTCCCAGGGCCCTCACAGCAGTGTGAATCGCCCCTCAGCAATTCTCCCCTAGGCTGCCTCAGCCCTGTCTCGTGAATATAAACCCATTCCCCGGAAGAGACATCAGGCCCAGTCACAGACTAGCACTGTATGAAACACGACCCTTCGGCGCTTCACAGCAGCTGAGGGCACTCAACACCTCTTCTGTCTGGGGCTGAGGAGAAGCCAGCAGTGCCACGGACTGCCTCACTTTTTACGCTGTGGTTTAGTTTGCGAGAGAACAGAGGGGAGATGCTACCGCTGAACTTGTCACATAAAACAGCACATGTGCTTTGAGTAGTTAACTTACTACATGAGCACACAGGTCATGGCATTCAGGTTGGTGTTTGCCAGAAAGAATGCCCCTCTTCAATGGAGGAACTTCCTGCATACAAAAAATTCTAAGGATAATTTGAAATTCCCAAGGTATTTGGAATAGTCCAGGCTCCAAATATTGTGTTCTGTTGTGCCCAGAAGCATAATAAATACTTACAGATCATGTATCCCTAGTTTTCATTCTCAAATATTACCACAGTAATTGTGCAGGATCCTAACCCATGTGGATGAATGTAGAACAGCACCCGGACAGGCTTGTGGCAATTAAACATAGAAAGGTGTTTCAAGAGGCATCCATGTTCCTTTGCCAGCATTGTAAGAGTTCCACAATGATTCCCACTGCTGAATTCGTCCTCTCCCCCTTCCCTCTCAGGTGGGAAACAAAATGCCTTTCCACGGCTATTCTTCCCCCATCAGTGACTGTGACAATGCAGAGCGTCCCTACCCTTGGAATAAGAAGAGGTTGACGTAATTGTAGCTCTTGGTGAGGAAGTTCCCCAGGACTCGCGTTGGGTAGCCGCAACGGATCTGGTAAGCAGACAACCCGAAGTAAACGCACTTCACGAAGTACCAAAGCTGGGCAACCAGGTTCTGGCTGAATTTCCTGAAATGTAAAAGTACAGAAAGTGAAGAAATGAAATACTGGTCTGAAACAAAAGGATGGCAGTGTTGAATTCAAACAACAACAACAGGCCAACAGAATTTCCCCTTCATCGCTCAAACTCAATTCTAATAAACTGTCTACACATAGTGGATCACTTCAAAGGCAAAAGGTGGGATTAAAAAATTCGATAATTAAAGCGATTTCCTGTGAATGGTGCCTTCAATCTGTCTTATACTGTTGTTTAGGCCATAATTAAAATAAATTATTAAGCGAATTTACTGATAAAAATTTTCTCACTATGTAGATGACACAGTTACCGTAGTCCAAATTAGGCTCCTGAAAGAAAAAATCTATATACATTATATATGAGATATATTAAAAAATATATAAACACATACACACACACACACATATATATATAGAGAGAGAGAGAGAAAGAGAGAGAGAGAGAGGATCCATAATTTGGAGTATGTAGGAGAAAGAATTCTGATAGTTGGACTCTCAATTTCTTTTTATTACACATTATAAAAATAGGTAATTGATTAAAAACTCTGGAAACCCCTGGATTTGGTTCCAGTTCTGTCTGTATGTTATGGGGTATGTTTTCCAAGCCATCATTTCTCAAGACATCAGTGTCTTCATTTGACAATTCTTCCTAGTTCTGCAAATCTATAACTCCATGACCTAACCTTTATTTATTTTTAAAGATTTCATCAACAATACAGATGGTAGTCTTTTCTCCAGGTGAATAGTGAAGAGACATAGTATTGAATAGTTCAAGACTGCTAGCACAAGCTTGAAAAAAAAATAGTAGAATTAAATTGCACACTAGAAAAAAAATTTGGAATATAATTTCAAAGAGTGATGAGCTATAGGACCACTTTAAACTTTGGATAAATGTAGCATTCTCCAAAAGTCTTAAACATAGTCAGTACAAATTTTAAAAACGAAATAAAAAGAAAACTTTTGACTTGGTGAGCGTTTGGTATAATCTTCTCTGTCCTTAAAATTAAGATCTATACTTGAAGGTTTTGATACAAGCAGCGTATTTCTCTCTGCGCCATATTTTGGATTTGTCTTCTCCCTCCTTCCCTCCCTCCCTCCCTCCCTTCCTTCCTTTCCTTTCCTTTTCTCTCTCTCTCTTGCCCACACCCCCACGGAGATACCTAATGGTTCCAGCACCATTTGCATTTGTTGAAAAGACTGTTCTGTCTTCACTGGATGGCCTTTGCACCTTCCCTACATCAGCTGAATTGGGACTGTGGGTTCACTACTTCTGGACTCTGTTCTGTTCCACTGTTCTGTTCGTCTGAATCTCGAGGCTACACCTCACTGCTTGATCATCACAGCTTTATAATAATGCTTGAGGTCAGGAAGAATAAGTGCTCCAATACTGTTCTTTTTCAAAGTTATTTCAGTTCTTCGAGATCTTCTGCAATTCCATATGAATTTTTATCAGCTTACCAAATTCTATCAAAAAATCTTGCTGGAATTTTGATGTGCACTGCGGACAATCTATAGATCAATTTGGGGAGAAATTGCATCTCCCAAAATTCACGAGAAATTCACAAGTATTTTGATGCATGAACTTAAGTCTTCTTGATTTATTTAGGCCTTCTTTAATTTCTCTCAGCCATGTGTTTTATATTTTCATTGTAAAAATCTTGTACATGTTTTATCATATTTATCCCTAAATATGATAGTTATTTGTATTTTCAGTGGTATTGTAAATAATATTCTTAAAAATTCAAATTATTGAGCATTTATTGCTTGCATATAAAAATACAATTAAGTTTCGTATGTTTGTTTTGTACCCACAAACTTCCAAAGTTCATTTATAACTTCTCACAGCCTTATTGTAGATTCCACCGGATTTTCTATATAGACTGTCATATCTGCTGCATGGTTTTACTTCTCGCTTTCCAATCTGGATTTTGTGTGTGTGTGACTGAGTCTCACTCTGTCGCCCAGGCTGGAGTGCAGCGACGCAATCTCAGCTCACTGCAACTTCTGCCTCCAGGGTTCAAGCGATTCTCCTGCCTCAGCCTCCTGAGTAGCTGGGTAGCTGGGACTATAGGTGCGCAACACCACATACGGCTTTTTTTTTTCTTTTTCTTTTTCTTTTGTTTGTAGAGATGGGGTTTCACCATATTGGCCAGGCTGGTTTGGTCTCTAACTCCTGACCTTGCGATCCTCCTGGCCCAGCCTTCCAAATGCTGGGATTACAGGCTTGAGTCACTGTGCCCAACCCAATCTGGATGTCTTTTATTTTTACTTATTTTGCTGGCCTGGGATTAGGATCTAGTATCACCATTCACTGGCTGAATGACTTTGGGGAGATCACTTTTCTTTCTGGGGTGTATCTATCTTAATCTGCAAAATTAGATCATAGGCTTGGAAAGCGTTTTAAGATGTCTTTCTTCTCTGAAATTAACAGTTTCTGTGAGGGTTGGTGAAGAAAGCCGACATGATGTTGTTAAACATCAGAAAAAGTATTTAAGTTCATCATTCAGATACTTCAGGTGTTGAATTTGGTTTATTTCTCTGATTTAAGAGGGGCAGATATAATTAAATATTTGCACTGAAAAATATATTTTATGTATTCTATTTTAAATACCAACAAATAATATTCACAAAACTCTCCTGAAAAAAATTATAATATTTGTACAAGCAGTGGCCTTCATCTGAATTATTATTACAGCCTGGGCTATATTTAATCTCCCAATATATGGTGTGGAATGGAGAACTTATTGGGCTATTGTGTATCCTCTGGGTAACAATCCTTTATTTATTTACTTCTACTGTAGACTCAGGAAAAAGTATCCTAATTCTACTTTCCTTTAAAAATACCTGCATTGTCACCATTTATTATTATAAAGCAATAATTCTTATACTGAAATCGAAATGTCAGAACCTATACACTCAGACAAAAGCAGCCATTAGGCTCTGGCTACTGTTAGAAACAATTTGGATTTTCTTAATAGAAATTACACTTGAACTGGTTTATTTATAAGCCACATACGTAAAATCCATTTTTTTCATTACTTTCTATTCATACTTCCCAAATGATATTAACCTGCCTGTTTGATAATGTTATTCATAAGACTTGGCTACAAATGACTCGGAGGTGTGATCAAAAGATCAAATTTACTGTTAAGCATAAAGACTTTTCAGAGATACTTGAGGATGTTTAAAATAGTACATCATTGACCGGGCACAGTGGCTCATGCCTGCAATCCTAGTACTTTGGGAGGTCCAGGCAGGAGGATTGCTTGAGGCCATGCCTTTGAGACCAGCCTGGGTAACATAGTGAGACCTCATCTCTACAAAAAATGAAAATAAAAAATAGTCAGGAGTGGTGATGTGCACCTGTATCCCCAGCTGGTCTGGAGGCTGAGGTGGGAGGACTGCTTGAGCCCAGGAGTTCAAGGTTGCAATGAGCTATGATCATGTCACTGCCCTCTAGCCTGGGAGACAGAGTGAGATTTTGTCCCTAAAAACAATAAATTAAAAAAAAAAAAAAAGAAAAAAAAAAGGCTAGCATGTCGTAATCTGGGAGCACAGTTCCAGAGGAGACTTTCAGAGCCACAGCAGGCGACAGCAGCTTCACTGGATTAGGTACGTGGCTCCGCAGGCCAGTGACGAAGAGTTGTAGCTTGCTTGTGTACATAAAATCAGATATGCTTATTAAAAATTTCTATTCCTACTACATCATATGGACGGGGCCACATTCACCTTCTGCGGAGCCTTTTCTTTCGTAGCCTGACAGAGCAGACACTTCCCATTTACAAAACTCCACTGTGTTTTTCTTTGCCGACCTGAGCGGATCGTTTGTTCACGCATGAGCACCAACAGTCATAAGCACTGTTTCGCCTGGAGGCGTGGGGTGGGAGACGGTCTACAGAGAAGTGTCATCTGAACAGCGATCTGGAGCGTAAGGAGGAAGTAGACTTTGGGTTGGAGGCTGGGGAGGAGGCTCAGAGGGAGCAGAGCTTGGAGATGCCAGGCACACCAGGGAACTGTAGGTCAACACCCTTTCCTTAGGGTTCTAGGAGAGGGAAGCACAGTGGCCACTTTGAAGGATCTTACCAGCCCTTTCCTGACAGCTTCTGGCCGCCCTGACCAGCAGCACTAGTTGTATTAACAGCAGCAGAGTCCAGCAGAATGGGTCCGCCTGCTTCTCTTACCATGAGCTGAGACACTGCTTGGTGCTTTCAAACCCCGCTGCAGTTAACCCCCACCAGTCTCCTATGCGGAGACTCTATCATCTGCTCCCCATCCCGCTCCCTCTCTCTCTTCTTCTATCCATTAAGCAGCCTCCATTTGTTCATCTATTTCTTGCACGACTTAGTCTTGGGCCCTCTCTCCCTCTCAAAAATGCCCCCAAGACCACACTCCACTTTACCTCCACCTCTGCTAAGGTGTAGAGAGAAACACAGCACAAAGACCCTAGGTTTGCTCTGGTCATAAAGGCTGTCACCTTTCTTATTTATAGGAACCTTATTTCCACAAATGTGGATAAAATCTAATTAAAATATTTTTGAGGAATCAGTTCACACTTTAGATTTGCATTGACTGTTGACCCAAACCTTTAGCTTTTCCTACCCGTAGCGCTGCTGTGCCAAGGCTCTGCCTGTGGCGGGCAGTTCTGCTGTGCAATGCACGTATCACCTCAGGAAACACAGTTGCATGGAGGTGGGCTGGTGCCTGCGGCTTCTGAAGACCTTACCTCTCAGTCACACCGGGTAAGATGAAGAACATCCAGAAGTGAATTCCGAACACAAGAATGACCTGGAAGATGACCTTTCCCAGTACAGTCTTCCTGAGGTAGAGGGCTCGGTCCACCACCATGGTTCCAAACTGAATGAGGACCATCACCAAAAACGGCCCTGGGACCTGGTCCTCTGACAGTGAAGAGGTGATGTCTGCAGCTGCTGAGTGTTTCTGGGGAAGAGACAACAAGTTCATGCCCAAGAGAGGCAATTCACGGGAAGGAACGCCATCGCTGTGGGTCAGGGCGGGTGCTGTGGCCTCTCCCCCAACCTACCCCAAAGGCCCAAAAGCCGAAGACAATGATGATGAAGTCCACAGTGTCAGCCAGGAACATGAGCACATACACGTCAGTCACGGCGCTATAGTCCGGGTGGATGAGGTTGTAAAAGAACTGTTTGATGGGCACGTAGATCTGCAGCGTCCTGCAAGATGGAGACCCCCACCCCCAACCCACTTGTTTCAGGAAGGGCAGGATGGCAGAAATGACCAGACACTGCCATCGTGCCATCCTCCGCATTCTCCTTTCCAGTCAGGTCCCACCTTCCTCTCTCTGCCTCAGGATAGTCCCGCTGTGGACGGCTCCTGTTCTAACGGAGAGTGTATACACGTTTACTGCCAAGATAGATACTGCAGCCCTCTCTGCTGATGGCACCACAACCCTCTCCTCTTGCTTGAAGGATAATAGAATGGTATGATGCCCTGGGAACGAGGTGTTGGGTTTGTAGCCTGATTCAATTGCTCACTACCTGCAGGAACCATGAGCATGCCATGCAACCTCTGTGTTTAGTTTTCTCATCCGTAAAACTGGAGTGATAAGAAGACCTGATGCCTAGGGCCAAGGTGGGAAGTAAAGGAGGGAATGCATGAGGTGCTCACACTTGGAGTGCTTGGTCCATGTGTGTCTGAATGTGCGATGTCCCTGCTCCTCCTGTTTTAGGGCCTGTGTCCATCATGGCTCCCACATACTGCCCTGGCCTTTTATCTGTGCCTTGTTCTGTGCCTCAGTGCGGTGTCCTGCTGGCTCTTGCTCCTCTGTCTAGCCTTTGCCCTATCTTTGCTCTGGGACCTGCCTTCAGTTCAATGCCACGTTTGGGTGCCACTGGCTCTCCTGCTCTCAGAGTCTCTGTTCAGGGCTCCACTCCCAGCTGGTAGTCCCAGTCCCATGCACCACTTCCATCCCCAGCAGGTGGAGGGACCTGTGTCGTTTGCTGGGGAACAGGTGTACGGCCACGGACAAAGCATTTCCCCACCATGCACTTCTGTCCCCTTCTCAGGGTAAGAGTGCAGCTCTAAGGCCCTTCCAGCATTGACACTGTAGTCCTCTCAGTCTGGCTGGACTTCCCCATGATAATGCCTAACAGTACAATCCATGAGCCCTTGAAATGACCCATTTTCTTTGTTTGAATAGAAAAAGCATGTGCATAAATGCAATGGATATAAAATGAATCACGCTTACGGAAAAATGATTTTTAAAAACAAGACAAAAAGGGGTAATTTCATTCTGCCTTATACAGGTAACATTTGTGACACGAGAAGTTACTTCTCTGCTCTTTGCCCCTGGTTTATAGGAAATAATAAAGCCCAAAACCGTAAAATAAAGCTCACATGCCAAATGTTCTCATGGACTCACTTCTTTATGGTAAAGGCCTTTGCTTTGATTAAATGTTCTTGAAGCTTTTCCATATAAAGTTCCCTTTTGCTTTTTTGCTTAATACTCAAAACGCTGCTTCCTTTCTGACTGCTGTTTCGGGTGCTTGTGCTGCCTAGAAATAAAAAGAGATCAAAGATGGATGGTGAAGCCCGGGGTCTGTTCGCCTAAATATCCTAGAAGCAGCCCTCAGAGCCCACACGGTGGAGGGACAGCTCGGCACTGTTTGGGAGGATGAGTATGCACGGATGCATTTATGAACGATTACTGAGCGCTTTGGGATCTGTCCTCTCAACTCTGCTCCCATTGTAGGCCTGTGGGGTTTAACACCCCGTGGCAGCTCTTTCCTGGATTGTTACGCAATCTTTGTTTCAGAAGTAAATAAACTGGAAGGATAGTTTTTATTGTGCTAACTGGGGTACTAGGACGCAGGTGCTCCAGACAGGGTGCCCCACGTCCGTTTTCCTATCCTAGTTTCTCTAATTATAAAATGAACATGACATAATCTGCCAGTATCTGCCTCAAAATCAGGTTCTAAAGATGACTATACACCACTGCATGGAAAGCTTCAGACAGGAGCCCCGTAAATACAAAAGCTTCAGACAGGAGCCCCATAGATACAAAAGCCTAGTGATTCCAAGAGGGGCAGCTGTGAGGCGTATCTACTTTCTGATCATACTTGTTGTTTAGGAAAAAATTAATTATTAGACTAGGAAATAACCGTAGTTTGGCTAAAAGTTCTCATCAATTACATCTAAATATGTTTAAAAAATACAGTGTGATTGACAGCACTCTGGACATGCCCTGCAAATTTTTCGCATGTAACAAAAATTATCATGAGCCTGGCGTTTATCAGGTACAAGGCAGTGTGCCGGCCATTTTTCACAATTATCTGAAACTTTTGTCCTGAGATACAATAAGGTGTTTTGGGTAATGGGGTGACACAGCTGAGGCGGGATTTGAACTCGAGTTTCTCTGATTTCGAAGCCCTTTTCTTTTCACATAACAACGTCTGTCTCTTGATAGCACCCAGTACACTCCCTTGCCCCAGACCCACAGGCACGAGAAAAACGAGGCCACCTGGGGCCTAACTGCAGCCTAGATACATTGTGTTGACAGCTACCTCTTTGGGATCTGTTCGAAGAAAAGCTGGATCTCTGGGATGGCTCGGAGTTGCTGCTGGAGCGCTTCCTCCGGACAGCTGTCTGCTGCTCCGGGAAGGTCACATGCACTGACTCCACGGACGCGGCCAGGTTGATGGACTTGAGAGAATCCGAGGAGTCCCTCCTGCCATGACCGAGGGAGAGCTCATCATCTGATTCCTCCTTGTCCATGCCACTTTCAGTCATGTCATCTTCATCCCACAAGCCGTGGCACTGAGAAAGCAGGGACAGGGACAAATGAGGCTACTATTCCAGGTGGAACCCTTGGTATTCTGTCTTACAAAATTTCATCCAACAAACTGTCCTTCAAGATTAGAAAAACAGGTGACAGGGTTTGGCTGTGTCCCCAGATCTCACCTTGAATTCCCACGTGTTGCGGGAGAGACCCGGTGGGAGATAACTGAATCATGGGGGCAGGTCTTTCGCATGCTGTTCTCATGGGAGTGAATAAGTCTCATGAGATCTGATGGTTATAAAAAGGGGAGTTTCCCTGAACAAGCACTCCTCTCTTTGCCTGCCACAATCCAAGTAAGATGTGACTTGCTCCTCCTTGCCTTCCGCCATGATTGTGAGGCCTCCCCAGCCATGTGGAACTGTAAGTCCATTAAACCTCTTTCTTTTGTGAATTGCCCAGTCTCAGGTATGTCTTTATCAGCAGCATGAAAACGGACTAATACACAAGAAAAGAAAGCTTGTCTAGAGCTTTATGAGGGTCCCAGTAGGGAAGAGATGTGTGGGTGCAGACAATAAGATTTTAGCTGATAATTGAGATGGAGACAGATAGCTTTTGGCAGACGGACTAAGGATGAAATTACAGTGACTTGACTTATTGGACGGAAAGTCACCCTGATGACCCCGCTGCTGTCGGACGGAGCTCTCCCCTGAGCTTTTTGTCTGGCCATGCATGTGCTCCCCAAGACATTGCCTAGTCCTCTCTCTGACTCATATGTGGAGGACAAGAGCTCCAGGCCAATTTGTCAGAAATCAGTTGGTCAAAACCAACTCCGAGAATGATCAGTGCACCAGTCACTCAATTGACAGATGATTCTTTTTTTTTTTTTTTTTTTTAAGACGGAGTCTTGCTCTGTCACCCAGGCTGGAATGCAGTGGCGCGTTCTCGGCTCACTGCAAGCTGCACCTCCCAGGTTCACGCCATTCTCCCACCTCGGCCTCCCAAGTAGCTGGAACTGCAGGCGCCCGCCACCTCACCCGGCTAATTTTTTGTATTTTTTTAGTAGAGACGGGGTTTCACCATGTTAGCCAGGATGGTCTCGATCTCCTGACCTCGTCATCTGCCAGTCTTGGCCTCCCAAATTGCTGGGATTACAGGTGTGAGCCACCACGCCCGGCCTGACGGATGATTCTTAAATATTTATTTGTAAATGTGTTATTCTTAAACATATTTAACGAATATATTCTTATAAACCTAACAAACATTTTAGCTTTTCATAATGGGATTTTTCAGTTTATATCGATTTCTTTCCAATTATTTTAAGAGTTGTTTCCTCTTTGGCCAACATTCATATATTTAGATTATTTCACAACTTTCTCGTAGTATATTTACTTGTCTGCCAATTCTTCTAATTATTTATCAAATATACAGCAATTTGTATTAAATAGGATGGTTTCAAGCACTTTTGAAATTTCTGCAGCTTTAATTGTTTGGTTTTTGTGGCAACATTATATGAAAGATTTATTTTTTCAAAAGCTATGGGGTACCTTGTCTTCTTAAGAAAAGATTTATCATTCTAAAAAGTATTTTTATATCTTTAATTAAAATTTTAACATAATGCCATTACCTCAAATCTCATATACATTCATATATTTGAAATTTTCAGAAAAAGAGTAAGAACATCAATAAGAAACACCAAGATTTTATATGTTTTAAATATAAAATTGCAGCAGTTAAGCCATTTGAACATTGATGAAAAGATAGTAAAAGTGCCTAAAGAGTTATAACAATTTTAAATGATACAAAAGAATGCAAAGGTTGCAAGAGAATTCTGAAGTGATCAAAATTACACCATCAAGTATTAAATACCAAAATTTAAAAAATGAATTTCTAAGACTGAAAAAACAAGGTTAATACATTTATTCATATGTTCATAATAAAAGTCAGTATACTAAATAAATTCAAGTAATTAACATATCCATCAAAAGAACGGTGGCTAACTGGTTTCCTTAGATACATAGCTTTAAAAAACCTGCCACACCTCAACGACCCAGCTAAGGCTCCCTCCAAACTGAGGTCTTGGGTACTTTGCAAAGTGATGGAAGCTAGAGTGAGGAGGTTGACCAGAGTGCACTCAGATGAAACCGAGTTTGAAATAGCTCACTGAGCTAGGGCAGAAGAAATTAAACACACTGTTACATATCTATGTGTGCATGTATGTATATGTACGTGTATGTATTAACTTATGCCAAGCCTTGTTCTAAAAAGGATTCTAGGGACTAAGAAAGATACTCCTGGATAAAAGGAATTTACAATATTTTATATAAGACACAAGGTTAAGGTGAGAGAAGGAAAGTAAGGTTGTAACAAGAGGTACATTCATACATAAAATGTACGCTATGCAATAATTTCTATTTATCAGAATTAAGTGGCATATTTACAGGTTTAGTTTATAGTTCACAGCGTGTGAGAAGGAAAAACACACGAAGTTGCTCAGAAGGACAGGAGTCCCTGAGGCTGAGGCAGGGCCATGCTGTATAAAGGTCCTCGTCCAGCAGGATCATGAGTGGCCTCCTCCACAATAAGCAGGAGAAAGCACAGCTCTGGGTTTCAGTGGGCAAGTTAATATGTGGTCTCTCACCAACAGCTAATGGTTTCATGACAAGAAACTACCCAATGAAAGCAATTCTGCTAGAAGGAGGGAGGCTGAAGCTGGGATGGAGATGAGACAATATGATCCACGCACATTGTGGCTCTCCGATGCTCTGGCTTAAACCGGAGGCAGAATTTAGTGTATCTGGCCTTAGAATACTGCACATCATTAAAGCAATGTTCCACAAAGTAGATTCATGATTATGCATTTAACCTAGGTTGGAAACATGGGGAAATATTCTCCCAGATTTATTGTAAGTTCCGTTATTGAGTACCACAAGTGTTGGAAAAAATGTCCACTAAATGAATGTAACTTTTTTCTTTTCTCTTTTAAAACAAACAAACAAACAAACAAAAAAACATATGAGTAGATGCCAACCACCAGCCCCTCAGCCCCATCACCAATCCTGATGTCCAGGTCACCTAGGACAATTACAGGGACTGCAATGGCCTACTTGAACTGATTAATTGTTAACATGCAGTACCTTCAAAATTGATCGATGAAAGAACAGAGCCAGGAGCTGGATGAGGTCATAAAGGACATAACCTTCCTTCTTCTCCACTCCTATGATGTTTGGGGGGTGGAACGGTTTATCTTTGTTCACCTCCGCGTTCTTATTCCAGGGAAAGAACCCAAATTGGAAGAAATACTTGACTACAATTGCCACCTACACACAGATGACAGAAATTTAAAACATTACTCCTTCTTTTAGGAACAGATATACCTGTATATGGGAAAAAGCAATACGACAATTAAGAAAGAGACCCGCATTTCACAGTTTTGATGGTAGGAAAGCATATAATTATGTGCAATAGTAAAGTATCATTCTCGCAGACTCTTGACTTCACAACAGAAGCAGTGCCTGACTGTCACAGTGTCTTCCACTGTAGGGTCTAGCAAGGCCAGTTGGACGCCTCAGGCCACTGCTTTGATTGGTCATTTCCTCTTCTTTTGAGGTGTTGGCATTTATACTGATTTAATTAGATATTGATGTAATTACACAGCTATTAAATATGTTATTTAGGGAAACCTGAACAGAACATACTCGTATCTTTCTAGTTTCTGTACTTCTTTAATTTGCAATCGATCACATGGTTATGATGCATGTAGTTTTTACTTTCCTCATCATATCTGTGTGCCACGTTAGTCTGGGAGCCACTAAAAAACAGAAATGCATATTTGCTTTCTATTCATCTTTGTATTCTGGTGTGTAGCAGGGTTCTTGGTTTCTGACATATGGTTTGTATTATAGAGCAAATCAACATTAAGAATTTCCCGCTTACTTCAGTCCTCAGTGCAATGTGACAAGAAAAGGGAGAGCCTCAACTTAACTTATATAGAAATATTTTATTTTATATTTTTTAGAGATGAGGTCTCAATCTGTTGCTCATGGTGGAGTGCAGTGGCACAATCATAGCTCACTGCAACCTCAAACTCCTGGGTGCAATCCTCCCACCTCTGCCTCCCAAGTAGCTTGGACTACAGGTGTTTGTACACCATGCCTGCCTAATGTTTTTTATTTTTTTGTAGAAATGGGGTCTCGCTATGTTGCCCAGGCTTGTCTTGAACTCCTGGCCTCAACTATCCTCCTGCCTTGGCCTCCTGAAGTGCTGGGACTATAGCCAGAAATATTTTATTTTTAAGGTGAAAGCTATACAAGAGTCTCTTGTTCACTTTTCCACATTCTTGGTACTTCCTCTTACTTCAGCCCTAGGTAAGAAAGGGAATCTGATAAATGTACCCACATTGTTACAGACTGGCACCCATTCTCTAAACGGGCAGTCATTTACATCCTGAAGTGACGTTACTCTTTATTTTCCTTATGGAAGTAAGATGCATGCTATCAATACGTTAAACCAAATACTTTTGAGATGCTTTACCGTATAGCTTTGTTTTAATTTTGCTACTGAATTACTTATAACCTACAAAACTTCTAGGCCTTGGGTGTGCATCCAGCATGAGCACTGTCATTTGAGAAATAATTACAGCACTGCTGAAAGTGAAACTTTTCCTTACAAGTCAGGGAAGAAAATCCGTCTCTTCGCAAACCTGAGAACACAAAGCACCATGGTTGTCCAGGCACCAAGAATATCGAGCTTTTTTGTTGTTTAAGTCCCTGGATGGTTTTCAGGGGCATTCGTGATCCTGTCTATGTTGAACAGGTCAGGACAGAAAGCAGGAACATAAGAGTGAGCAGAAGGCTCCTCATACCCCACATGGGATGAAAACGGGCTGGCATCCACCCTTCAGACACTAAGCGGGTGCTTATACGATTTTGCGACACATGGATATTTACTTTTGCGTTTAAAAATGAAAAGTATGTATGATATATTCAAACTACGTTCAAAGTGCCAGAAGATATCATTTAACACAGGGTCCATTCACTGAACCCCCTGTGACGCCAGGCATTGCGCTCGACGCTGCAGAAGCCTGTAGGCATCTCAGTGGTTAATATTGTAGGTCAGGCAACCAGGCTTCAAAAGTGTCCCCACCCCTCACCAGTTGGGCAACATTGGCCATTTAATCTAATTGATACTGTGTCCTTATCTGTTAAAGGGGATTAAGCCAGTACCTACCGTATGTGAGGTGTGAAGTGTGAAAAGAGTTTTAGAATTGTGAGTGCTAGGTAACTGCTGCTGCTGACGATTTGTGTATCTAAGAATGTCTGTGGAACTGCATGTTCCATGTGAAACTGGGATCAGGGCAGGCCCACCTCGAGAGAGGGCACAGGGACACAAGGTACGCTTGACCTTGCATAGCCGCCTGAAGCCATCCACAAGGGTCTGCGTCCAGGCCTACCTCGGTATAGACAATGGCCATCATCCAGAACCGGCGGCTGGGCCTGGGGACGGACAGCATGGCCCAGAGGAAGATGAGGATGGGAAGCAGGAGCGTGATCATGGAGGCAGAGACCATGTGGTTGAGGATGATCACGAAGTAGCACACCATCTCTGAGCGGGCCACCAGGGTATTGTACATGGCATAGAAGAGCAGCAGAAATCGGGGCTGCCCCACGTAGAATTTTTCGGACTCTTCAAGCTCATCATCGTGAAACATCCTGTTAAAGTAAACCACATGATAATATGTCTATCTTTTTTTTTTTGAGACGGAGTTTTGCTCTTGTTGCCCAGGCTGGAGTGCAATGGCACGATCTTGACTCACCACAACCTCCGCCTTCCAGGCTCAAGCAATTCTCCTGCTTCAGCCTCCTGAGTACCTGGGATTACAGGTGCCCACCACCATGCACAGCTAATTTTTTCTTTTTTTTTGTATTTTTAGTAGGGAGGGGGTTTCACTATGTAGGCCAGGCTGGCCTTTAACTCCCAACCTCAAGTGATCCACCCGCCTCAGCCTCCCAAAGTGCTGGGATTACAGGCGTGAGCCACCATGCCTGGCCATGCCTGTCTTTAATTTCTCCAAATCACTGATATTCATTTAGCACCATCCTCCCTGCTGTGTCCCCCACTTCCTATGTCCCCGTTTTTCCTTCAGAGACAACCTAATATCAGACTTTATGATAGAAAGAAATGTCAACACAAGGTTCTCGGTTTTGCTGGTTCTAGAACCAGTCATGGAGTTTGCTTTGTACTTGCAATGCAAGGAGTCTTAGAATTGTCTGTCTCCTCTCAGTATCTAGGTGAACTTTTTTCTGTATATGAATTTTTCTGTATACAGAATGAGGGCATATATTTAAGTGGTGATTCACGATACGTGTCTGACCTGCTCGCTGGACCCTTACTTGTTCAGCAGCAGCTCGCTGGCCGTCAGCTCATGCGTCAGGGGAGGTAAGATGCTGGACCCCAGCTTGTCGGTGCGGCTGTCGTCCGGGCTGACGGCCATGTGGTTCTTGCCTGCAGAGTCGTCCTGCGAGCCGAAGGACAGATGCTCGAAGCTCACAGCCTTGCTGTAGGAGGGTGGGGCCTCCACGTCCCCGTCCAAGGTGGAGAACTGTGTCAGCTCTTCCTCTGGGGTGAGGCTGGCCTCCTCAGCACCCACGGCTCCCACATCGTACCCGGCGGCCTCGTACTCCTTGGCCTCGCTGGGCTCAGGCACCGTGCTCCCTGCCTCCTCCTCCTGCTCAGCCTCCACCTCCTCAATGGTCTCAGTGGTCCCCTGGCGTGAGTACAGCATGGTGCACTGCGTGGGCTCGCTGTTGGGAGAAAGGGTGGGCACAGAGCCCCTGTCTTAGCATCCACACTCCTGGGGCTCTTTCCCATTCCTGAGAGACCTCATCAGAACTCCTAAGGAAATGCCCCATTTTTCCCCCCTGCATTCCATCTGCTTTGTTCTTTCGGTATAATCACTCCTGTTCTGCAGACACTGCAAACAGCAGCCTCTCCAATGCAAATGTTGACAGTGCACACACACAGTTTAGAACCAGAGCCAGTCACATGGCTCTCAAAGAGCAGAACCCACCCCCGTAACAAGTGTGGAGTATCCAGATTCACAGCCTCGGATTCCAGAGTCTGTTTCCATATCAACAAAGTACAGTTTACCCACTGCTCTGTCTGCTTCAAGGCGGGGGCACCCCTGCAGGGGAGAAGCTCTGAAGGTTTTGACCAAGAGCTAAGTCTTAGCAAATAGCTATTCTACCCTGCATCCTGCACAACAGACCCACCTAGACCATGAGGGGGGAATGGGAATGATTAAACATTGGCTACACTGGACAGCTGTGTGCTTGATAAAACATGCCAGCCTTCTGTCATGTTTATTCTTCCTGCTTTTCCATCCTTTGCCTTTTTTGCATTTCTGTGCATCCCGTCTGTGGAATCGCCACCCTCGTCCCAGCTCCCTGCACTGTGGCCAGGGCTTCCCCTTCCACACGGGACTCCAGCCACACTCTCCCCACGCGAGCTCTCCTTGGCCCTTCTCCCTTCCAGCTGCCCACTCCACCCCAGGGTGCGCTTCTGTTCTTTCCTCCCGACTACTTTACTTATCTTCTCCTACCAGTTCCTCTTTGAGCGCTCCTTTTCCAGAAGCTTCTCTACTCTCATCCTCACTTCCTGCCTTTGGCGTTCTGTTCTTTTTTCTCGTATCCTTTGTCTCCTTCTTTTGTTCCTATATTCTTTTAACTTTCCCTGTCAGATCCATGCAGACAAGGTTGGCCAATGACAAGAGGGCAGCCAGTGACATTCATGGCTTGCTCTGCCTCAGACACATCCAGCCATGGAGGGGAGAGGGGCAAAATCCACCTGGAGACTGGGAATCTGTCTTGGATGTGGGAGGATGTGTTAGACTCTGAAATATGTACTCTTATCTGAATGGCATGTGTGACCACCTGGGTTCCATAAACACTGAGATTCTCAAATGCATAGACTGCACCCATGTTTCTTGTCACAGACACCAGTATGGACATATGGATGAGTGAACGAATGGATGAACCTTGGCACAGCCGTTCACGGCATCCTGTGACTGAAGAACCAGATGGGCCTGAGCTTTTGATGCCCGCTCAGGTGTTCAGAATCCCCAGGGCTGTGTCCTTGAGTGCGCACATCATGGAGGGGCTGCTGAAATGCCAGGCCAAACCCGATTTTTGCTAAGACTTACCTCAATTAGATATACCTCCTAGGAAGGCCATGCCATTGACCCATTGCCCAGGCAACTTCCAGACTACTGGAGCCAACCCCACACCAGGTCTCACGGCTATTAAGACCGTCATCAATCCTAATCATGCTCGCTTTGGTTTGGATCTCCTGTGGCGCCAAGGGGCGGAGAGTACCTTCAGAGGTCAAGAAAATGGACTGGCATGGCAGGCACATGCCTGCCAGAGGACTCTGTCAAATGGCCAAGGCATTCCCATCAACGCCAGTGCCAGCGTACTGCAGGGCTGCACGGAGATATACAGCTGCCAGAGAAAAGAAGATGCCCTCTGACTTGCCACCATGAGCAGTCAAAATGTAACTTGTTTTGGATTGGGCTGTTTTCATGTTAGGAGAAGCACAGTGTAGCTGCTGAGTTCAGTGTCTCCCTCGACCATCCTAAGGCAATTCAAAAAGAGTTTTCGGGTTGTATGCAAATAATTTTATTTCTAAATGAATGCTGTTTTAGCGTAGGATTTCAGAGAACTTAAGCCACAGTAATTTTTTTCCCCAAAATAAAAGTTACAGGCTACAAAGGTGATGCACTCTGCTGCATAATACTCTTTTTAAAAACCAACGGTAAACTATATTCTGACTTTTATGTCAATTAGGCAAATAACATGCAGACTTATTCAATATTCACTGAAAATGACTACCTACGACAGATTTTTAGTTTTCTTCCTACTGCATGCATCTCTTGATTAAATGATGAGAAGAAGTTTTCTACCTTCGCAAACAGAGTTCCCCCTTTGAGCAGTGCCCACAGAAGCTCTAAGTTATGGAGGAAACATGCGTATGTCTCTGAAAATGGAAAGTGTGAAATACTGAAAACATGGAGGAGAATGTTTGTGATAAGGATTTTTAAAGAAACTCCTAACAGACAAAAACTAAAGAGCGGTTAGTTTAATATAATGCTGTCCTGAGAACAATTACATCTCAGAGAGGGCAGTGGTTATGCTTCTGTCAGTCATGCAGATTCTTAAAATAAAAATGAAATAAAAACATACGTCACAAGAACTTGTATTTGCAATGACATAAAGGGGGGAAGAGGTGATTAAAATGACAGAACAAAGCATGCACAAGTTAAGCACCTTGATGCTAAACTGCCACTGTCAGCTGATGAGGAGGACATATCCATGCTGAGCATTTTACGGAGCCTAGGCCGAGCACGCTCACTTGTTTTAGGAATTTCTTGTCCATCTAAATCATCAAGGGTGGACTGCCTTGAGAACAGCATGGTTGCTTCAGTGTAGCAGCTAGCAGCGCAAACAGTTACAGAAACACAGTGTTAAAACACCAAGTTGTACACATCAGGTTATACACGGATCGACTGACCAACACACTGCCATGCAGCAAACCACACATGACACCAACACCACCGACAAGGAAGGCCACCGCAGCGGGGCTCGGGCACGGGGAAGGACCTGTGTGCACAACCTTGAAACACACGAGTACTGGATTTTAAAAAACATATTGGCTAGTGACACATTACAAAATGGAATCTCTGGGTGGGACTAAGAAATGACGAGTCCCAATATTTTTCTCACAAAGTATAATGTATGTAATTATAACTTCATAACAGAGGGTTTTTTTAAATGAAAGAAAATATGCTTTATTTGGAGCTTGCAGTCCTGAGTTAAGAGCATTTATTAACCAATTTGCTTAAAAAGAAATAACTGCTCATGTAGAATTTACATAAAATATTTCAATCTTTTTTTTTCTTTCTAAAACACAGTCTTCAGAATTAGAGAGGGGAAACTCAGGAATGACAACAAACTGAATTTTGCACCCCAGTTTTGGAGTGATATTCAGTTAAGCCAAATGAGATGCTCTGCATGTAGTTGGGATGCTGGTTTAATATGCAGTGGATATAAACCAACATCAGAAATAAAATAAAAGGCTGTAAAGGAAAGAACAAAGGAACTTGAGCAATGGCAAGGTCATTTTGTCTGTTAACTTTTCATTTTGCCTAATTTTTCTTCTGGATCATGTTTTAGGGCTTGGTGGATGCCATGGTGGAGAGAACCCACTGCCTAAAATCCTCATCTCCTGGTACCCAATGGAGCAGTGACTGGCGAAGGAGGATGGCAGATCCAGGCCTAGGATGTTGCTGGGTGAGGATGCTCATGAGAGGAAGCACACAGAGGTGTGACACAGGCATCGTTTCAGTTCCCACACATGGTTCAACCCCAAAGAGGGGCAGATAGCCCAAAGATCCTCTAGAGAAAGCAACCAGAATACTTATCTTCCAACTTGAGTGCTCATGGGCTGGCTGACCCAGGGAACAGAAACAGACCCTTAGAGATACAGGATGCCTGATTTCCAGGCTGAACGTGGTAGACTGAACACTGTCATTAAGTGAACTCACTAGGAGAGTACTAGGTGCCTGGCCTGCACAGCCATACACTGTCAGTCAAGGATCCCGAGGCAGGATGGAAGACGTTCAGGATGCAGTGACCACTGCAGGCCTGGGAGGAGCGAATTTGAGTTACTCACTCATGGAACCTGTTAAAAGAGTTTTTCAGGTCCCATGTGCTGGAGCACAAGCCATAATTACTTCAGTGGGGCTGGCCATGCTGCTGTGCATGTCACAGCTACGTGGCCAAGACAGGGGCAGGCAGTGAGGGCGATAAGCCTGTGAGCAACAAAAATACTCTCTAATAAGGACATGGAGGCTGGTTTTGCTTTGTTTTGTTTTGTTTTGCCCCAACTCCTTTAGATGTCACCATGTCACCATGTCCTGGATAAAATGAGGAGACAATGACAAGATAAATAGAACAGCATTGGATGAACACAGTGAGGACTAGGATGCTGACATTAACTGGATATTGGGTTTTAGACGAATCACTGCCCCTTTCTGGGGCCCCAATTTTATATTTCTGGATGAGGGGACTTTGCACTTCCGTATTTCATTTAATATTTACAGAGATGTAACCCCATAGCCTGTGCAGGCTCCTGCAGCTTTGCTCAGGTTTTCTTCATGGGAACTGATGGTTCTAATTCAAAAGCCCTGTTTATCTTGTTAACTCTTGGATGGAGTTCTCAGAACCTACAAAATCCCACACAGTTGGGTTCCCTGTAGGACAACTAATATGTCACCCAATCCAGGACAGTTTAAAAGTGAATAGGAAGGGCAGGAAATGTATAAAAATAGGCCCAGACAGCAGGCCCAAGGGGATGGCTGCCATCACCTGCCTGATGAGCCCCCCGCTGCGAGCACCCCAGGAACACATGGCAACCCCTCAGAGGACATATTTAAAATATTAACCACCTCCTACCTGGGAATGCCCCTCAGAATGTTAACTAACGTTTTCTGTAGCAATTTAAGCTAATATATTTTCTAGGAAAGTAGATGTTATCTGATTACATAAAGCAACCATTAAAAAATGTTTGCCATTTTACATCTGGATTTGAAAGAAACCGTGACTCTTCTCTAAGTCAAAGGGACTACAAATCCACCTGTTAGGATCCCACCCAGACTCCGTCTACTGTCTGCTTAAAGGTAAAATTCATGCCACTGGCCTCGGAGCAGGGGCCATGAAGGGCACTGGCCACACTGGGTGAGCATAACCTCACTGGGGAGTGGCAGCCTCCTGGCCACCAGACCCTTCCCAGTGACTTCCCCCGCAGAACCTCTTCTAAGGGGGTTACTACCTTTCCAGCAATCAGCGTGGCTTCCTGGAGACTACAGTGTAGACAAATGATTATTTGGAAATTTGAAAGTTTCTAAAGCCTAGAAATATGGCTCACTGCAGAAAAGGGCAACTGTGGTAACTCCTTTACTGGCAACAAGATCCGCCCTATTCTGTCTCCCCTTTCTTTAGGTTGAGAAACAAAATAAAAATACATTAAAACCTAATTCTAAAGGTGCTGGTTTCCTACTAGTTATTGTATTTACTGACTGACCATTTTAAAATTGGGGGGGATATTTTGACAGTCTTTGTCAAAAAGCAATCGATGGATTTAAGTATCTCCTAACTCACAATTTTTTATCAAGAGTGTGGTTTCCTATTTGCAACCTTGGGTCAGATTTAAAGGCAGTTACTTGATTTTATTTTAACCAGTTGTTTTTCCTGCTTAATTGTGATTTATAATATTTAATTTCTTAATGGGACATATTGTCCATTGTTACGCAGTTAAATGTCATAAAGATGGGATTCACCTATGTTTACTTTATGAAAAATTTATTTTCAATTCACCTCCGAATATTCTCTGAGGCCACTGATTCAGAGTTTGGTTCTAGAGCATCTGTTTTCAAACCAGGCTCATGTGTGATACTCAGGAGGTCTATAAAATCCTTGAGATAGTGTGAAAAAAAAATTTATCTTTGTATGATTTTTCCCTGTGGGAGACTACTTCATGAAATTTCAAAAGAGGTTCATTAAAAATGTCACCAATTACTGTTAGAGTCATCACAAATTAATGAAGAAAGGCTATTCTATTCGTTACCCATTTCACTTGCCACATTTGGAGATTCAGGTAACAAAAAAATCTCTGTGTATTACAAAATGAACCTAGAAGGGAGGTTAAAATAAGGCATTTGAAAAATTTTACAAATCACATGATGGGACAGCATATTTTCTTGAAGAAAGATGCAAAGGTGCAGTATTCAAAGTCAATGCTACGCATGTATATGATCGTATTCTTCACTGCGCGGGAGGGAACGATTCCAGTTGAATATGATCATGACTTTCGGTTAAGTTCCCTAGAGCTGTCTGAACCTTTTATTTTAGAATTTAAAAGTAATAAAGACATAGTTTGGATCAGACCCAGTCCATATTGGATATATACAGAGCAGTAGAGTCCAAAGCTGAGAGCAGTGGGATGCGTGTGAATGTTACGCAAAAATAAATGAACAAATCAAAGAAACATCATTTGGGACATGTACGTGTAGAGAATCTCAGCATTTCTTTCACCCTATCATGCTCTTGTTTTTCGAAAAACGGTTGTTTGATCATGAATAGTTCCTACAGTGGGTAGATTTAGAAATGTTTAGATACCCAATATCCCTTTGTTCACCCTGTAACTAGGAAGCAGCACCAGTCAGCATCTCGAGTGCTCACTATCTTTGGACACATCTTGGCTCCCCACCCACCCTGCTGCACAAACCTGTAGGCTGTCACAGACCTGCCCATGCAGGGTCCCTGTAGGATTAAGGGAGGACCTAGCTGGACTACTTAAGAACTTAGGTAACCTGGGGCTAGACATGGATTTTAAGTTTTAGCATTAAAATGAATTAAGTGCATTGAATTAAATTAAAGAGAGAATGATTCAGTTTAAATACAACGATCAATTGATTGTTGCAATAAGAATGAATTTAATACTTCTGGAAGCTTCTAAGTAGAACAGTTCTAATAGTTTTCAAAAAATAAAAATAAAATTCAAACTAAAGAATGACTTTTGTCTGAATGGAATCTGTCAAAGACGACGACAGAAGCTCCCCTTTCAAAATGTTGATTGTGGGAGGTTTCCAGGAAGACACAATGAGACTCTGGTAACACTCACCAGTGGAAGGACATGATATTAAAAGTTCTCTTTGTAACTTTTGATATTACTAATGGTTTCAGAAATTAATAATTGAGAAATATGCATATTCTTGGGTAGAAAGAAACTGAAAAATAAAGCTTTATGATGACATAGTTTTCTAATAATCAATTATTTTATTCTATGAATTAAAGCTTTAAACCGAATCTCAATTAGGAAATAAATGTTTGACCTTGAAATCATAAAGAGTTTCTGTCCTAAACGTTTCTTCTTTCCACAAAAATATACAATAGATGAAATGTCTGTGTCTTTGAAACTCATAAATAAGCAAAGATTATTAACACATTAAAAGAAAAATATAGTCTCTTTCATTATCCCTCAAAAGATTTTAAAAGAATCAATACCTATTTTAGGGGGGCAGGCAGGGATATATCTATGCACAGTGTTATTTGCACAAATATGACTTCTAAATCAATCTAGGCATGAGTGCATATATTTTAAATTAGGCTTAGCATACATCTTATTTTAAAACTTGGATTTTTACAAAATATATGTATATATTTTATTGTGTATATATCTCACAGAGATCTTTTCATACCAATAAATATGGACCTGCATCAATAATAATTATTGGGTAGCAAAATAATAGGCATAATTAGAGAGGCTCAAATACAGGAATGTTGCAACAGTTAAACAGCACTTTAAAAGAAAAATTTTTTTTTTTTTTTTTTTTTACCCATATCTCCTCACTCAGTCCAATGTCCAGTTGTCTATTTTGGGTTTGGTATCAATAAAATGGTCTCAGCTCCCTCTCCTATTTCATCTGGAAATACATCCAGCAATTGTGAAGGACAAATACTTTTCCAGGTCATTAGTGCCTTGCTATAAAGTGTGACTCTAAAGCCATCCAGGAGTTTCTGACCAGCAGTCAGAGACACCAATCTCTACTGTCCTCCCCAGGGCAAGCATTTAAGGAGGTAATGGCCTTATCTCAGTTCTTCCTAGGCTAAACCATTTAGGGGACTACTCTTATCTTTATATGTCTCTCCCAGAATCGCCCAGGGCTTGGCACAGAATAGCTGATACTCAACATGTTTCATGAAAAAAGTAAAACATGAATGTTCTCGGTGATACAATTCTTTACCTGTGAAGGTGGCTATAAGGTGTAATTCATTCGTTCTAGTTCTTCACCCTAAACAAGGCAATTTTACCTCCTAAGACAGAGACTTCTGCTTTCACTTAGAATCTAGCTCTGTACAACTGTCACCAGCTACCTAGAACACTGCGATGCAAAGAATTCTGAGGCTCTTCTGGGACAGGCAGTAAGCTGGCCTGTGGTGCAGGAAGAGGCAATGAGAGACGGCACACTAGGGCGGTTGAGAGCTTGGGTTCTGAGCTAAACCACATGATTTTGGATTATGGGTCCGCTTTTATATACATCCTAGCTGTGTGACTTTGGGTATGTTTCTTAATCTCTCTGTAACTGAATTCTGTCTTTGCAAAACAGGGATAATAATAACATGCATCTTGCAGGGTCTTAGAGGATAAATTGAGGTAACCCAGGTACAGTGCTTAGTGCTGGCCCCTGGCAAATCCATTAGTACTGTGTCATTTGATAATCCTGTTGTGAAACAATGCATACGATAGTAAACTCAGAGAAGATAGAAGCTAACAGAATACTTTTTGGGAATTTTTATTACAAACCTTAAGGTAACAATTCTTAAGGGAAAGATCAAAGATAGCAACAGAAGTAGAAGACCCTAATGCAAAAGACACTTCGTGGATCAGCTATCTTGAAAGGCAATAAAGATGTAACCCTTGACACAAACAGTAACTTTGGGGTTGGGAGGGATCATTCTTCCTTGCCTCCAGCTTGGAAATCTCTATACTGTGCCTTTGGGTCATACAGATATAGCTAATCGTGTCTTATTGATACCAGCTTTTATCTGGTTTCTTCTAGGCAAGGACAATGTTCCTTATAGTTGTTGTACAGATGGTGACAGCTGGAAGAGGGTGGGGGTCCATGCATGGTTTTGATTAACTTTCACCTCACACATTCATTTCTTATATTTGATGACATTCACCTCATTTACCTTTGTCAAAAGTAAACCCATTGTTAGAAAGTGAAATACCTGGAGATACTGTCATGTGAATCTAAACTATCCATCCTGTGGGCTGTCTGTGCACCTGAAGCAGCTCCGGGTCGCTCGTCAATGGTGTCCAGTCCCGACTCTCTGGAAAGGTTCATGATGTGGTTCTGATAGTACATGTGGATGCTCTCCCGAGTCGGAACGTTGCCCTGAGGAGAACGAGACATTGCCACCGTTCCTATGGAGGCGCCTGCCTGTACAGCCACCCGGCACTTCTCAGCGCAGACAGCTTTTCATACCCAAGCATGCCTGGATAAGGATTAGGACCATGCTAGGCAAGTGGGGATTGACGTTGACTCATTTCATAAGTGGTTTCCAACATTACTAGGTAGATCTAAGTAAGTGTCTTCTTATAGGTAGATAATTTTGCTAAATCATAGTAACTTTTCAAGAAATGAACTATTATTTTAAAATACAATCTTTAAACCATATATTTTGTTGTTCTGCATATGTCCTATGTTTTCTTATAAAGAAGTTTCAGATCAAACTTTCCAGACTTCAGTGTTCAGGAGGGAGAAAAAAACCCACCACTTTCTACACTTTCCAGACTAAAACTGTAATTATTTATTAACTATACGGATACAGAACAAGGCAAAGTCTGTACACCTGCAAACTGTGGTGAGGGGAGGGATAGGATGAATAAAGTTGCCCTTCTGTGATGTATGTGTGTGTGTGTGTGCACGCGTGTATGTGCTGCACGTGCAAGCACATTTAATTATTTTAATTCTTAGTGTGGAATAGATTTAAATATACAGAAAAGCAAAGGGGTTATGCAACAATTGCCTGGAAAGAAAGGGTTTTGTCTTATCCTACCTGGAGTTTTGGACATTGACTTTTAATGTCTTCTTAATGTGGGAAGGAGCAAAAAGAATTACACCAGCAGTATTACCTTCTTAATTTCTCTGGTCAGCATGCATCGCTCAATTCTCAGAACTGTAGATATATCAATATGCTCCCTTGAAATGGAGTTAAGCCAAGTGGTGAAACTGTCCACTGTTGCCAGAAATAGGACCCAGGTAAATTTCAAAATATTAAATATCCTCTTGATGATATTGTCTAGGAGAAAGAAAAGCAACAAGATGCTAAAGGAACAAAATACCATTGATTTTGCTTTTGTGCAGAACAGCGATGTTTTACCAAAAATTGGACCTGGCTCTTGCCCTGTGCATCTAAAAGGCATGTGACTCAGATACTCATCACGCACAGAGGAGAGCTGCCATGCAGGAAGCTCTCGTGGGGCTTTGCACACATGCAGTGGCAGACCACATCAGGATAGAACTTGTAATCTTTAGTGGAAATAGCAGGCAGAGCAGCTCCCTTTGAGCTGACCCTGAACAACATGGGTTTGAACTGCGTGGATTGTTTTCAGTAAAATTACACCAAACGTGCCTGCGTCTCCCGCTTCCCCTTCCACCTTCTCTCCTCCACCTTTTCTGCGTCTGCCACCCGTGACAGCAAAACCAACCCCTCTCCTTCCTCCTCCTCCTCAGCCCACTCGAGGGCAAGATGACGAGGATGAAGAGCTTTATGATGGTCCGCTTCCAGTTACTGAATAGCAACTATATTTTCTCTTCTTTCTGATTTTCTTCATGACATTTTCTCTAGCTTCCTTACACAATATCTGCATATAGTGACATCTGATGTTCTGTGTGAGAATGTTTCCCGCCTGTGCTGTCACTACCTTGGCGACGCCTAAACCTCCTTGAAACTGTGTCACACCTAACAGTCTTCCATGAGATATGTTTAGGAAGCAAGGAAAGGAGAGGGTATCTTTTGCTGACAAGGAGGCACAGGAAGAGAACGGCCGCTGCTCGAAGCTGAATGAAGCGAGTCGCTGTGGCCACTGAAGAGGAGATGCCACAAGCACCGACGTTTCCCTCTCCACCCCTCCGCACAACCTCTACAAAATCTCAAGCAAGGTATGTATTTCTCACACTTGTTCGGATCGAGTCTCTAGCTGCTCTGTGTAGACACAAAGGTATGTATTTCTCACACTCGTTCAGATCGAGCCTCTAGCTGCTCTGTGTAGACACAAAGGGGAAGCTTGGCTCTGGAGGATGAAAGGCTGGGAGTTACACCCATCAATGAACTTGAGCAGCTCCTTATATTTTCAACACGTATTTTTCTTGTTTTCACAATTGTTTTCTTAGAAAGGATGAAGATGAACGTTATTACCGCATGGTTTTGCTATGCTAGGCCTGATGGTAAGGCTGCAGCCGCTGCACTGGGGACGTGAGTGATGTGTGCTTTGTGAACCTGGGTGACGACTCACCAACAGGGAAAGTGAGGACTCGAGTTTAACTACAGGGGCAGGAGGACACAGTGGTTAAGAGCACACACTCTGGATTCAGACTCCTTGGGTTCAAATCCCAACTCCACTCTTTAGTAGTTACATAGGGTTGGTTAATACAACTAAGAGATTAAACTGGTTAATCTCTCTCTGCCTCAGTTCCCTGTTTTGAGAAGGTTAAACTAGTTAATATACTCCAAACTCTCGAAAAAGTGCCTGAGAAACAAGACACGTGATCTGAAGTGTTGGCTGCTGTTACGGTGTGAGGCTTTGCAGCAATAAGAGTGTCCAGGTCCACATGTATGTGTGTCCAATTACCTAGAACTGGAAGTCTGGGTTTGAGGACTGGCACAGCAGAGGGCATTAGGTGGCCTTCAGTAAGTCTCCTTTCGTGCCAGCAGAGGGCAGGCTTGGAAGCATTTGTGTGGGGACACAAAGAGCCTGACGCCTGGTCTGCTGATAGGTAACTGCACAGGCGCTCCAAAGCAGAAGAAGAAATGGCACGACTAGAGAGGGCTAGAGAGCTTCGAGTTCATTTCATTTGGAGGCTTTTGCCTTTTTTTCTTCCTGCATAAAGATACCTTCCTCCAAATCACATACTATGAGGAGCCCAGATGGCACTGTGGCTGGATCGGGAGTTAGAAGACACGGGTTCTCTCCCTGACTCTTACCTGTGGAATCCAGAACAAGTCACCAACTCACTGAGCCTGGTTTTCCTCTCCTAAAATGAAGAGTTTGGCCCTAACCTTCTAGTGTATCTCTAATTTCCCCAGTCCTACTTACCTCTCATTTACCTCCTCCTTTCTGTGTTTTTTAAAAATAATTGCCAGTACTTTTCGTGTGTGCCTCCATTCTGACGGCTTCCATGGGACATTAAGAATTTGCTCCCTAAAAGCCTCTTTCATAGATGCTTGCATAAAGGAATTTACAAACTGAAACTAATTCAACATTTTATCCAACTGCGTAAAGTCTAGACCTACTTTTAAGAGTCATTTTGTGGCTGGGCGCGATGACTCATGCCTGTAATCCCAGCACTTTGGGAGGCCGAGGCGGGCGGATCACGAGGTCAGGAGATCGAGACCATCCTGGCCAACACGGTGAAACCCCGTCTCTACTAAAATCTTAAAAAAACTAGCTGGGCATGGTGGCGGCGCCTGTAGTCCCAGCTACTTGGGAGGCTGAGGCAGGAGAATGGCGTGAACCCGGGAGGCGGAGCTTGCAGTGAGCCGAGATCGCGTCACTGCACTCCAGCCTGGGCGACAGAGCGAGACTCCGTCTCAAAAAAAAAAAAAAAAGGTCATTTTGCAATTTCAGTGGAGATGAGATTCCAAGGGATACTGATTATTTCCGCTCATATTTATCTTTATTTTGTTACCTGGTCCATCAGATTTCTTTTTGATTGGTTCATCCTCCCGATCTTCCCATTCCACGGGACCTGCCAAGTGTGTTCAATAAAGATGAGTTAAACTCCATTTAGGGTGAATTAAATGCCAGTGTTACTCTTTTAGATTACAAGGAATTTTATAATTAACTCCAGAACATTCTGTCTATTTTAAGAGTTCCTCGGGAAAATTTGCTCGAATTCATAGCTCTTAGATTATTTTACTCCATGCCAGCATAAAAATTATGTAAACCAAGGACGTGTAAACTACATTCACTGGTGGTACTGGCCAGTACTGGTGGGCTGACTATTGTCAAATGGCCTGTGAGTTCAGAATGGCTTTTATATTTTTAATAGTTGAAAAATCTAAAGGAGAATATTTGGTGCATGTAAAAATTATGTGAAATTCGAATTTAACAGTCATGCCCATTTGTCTGTATATTGTCTATAGCTGCTTTTTCCCTATAATGGTAGATTTGAGTTGCACACAGACTTCATGAATAGTAAACCTTAAAATATTTACTATCAACGCCAGGTGCAGAGGCTCATGCCTGTAGCCCCAGCACTTTGGGAGGCTGAGGAGAGAGGATAGCCTGAGCCCAGGAGTTTGAGACTAGCCTGGGCAACATAGTGAGACCTCGTCTCTACAGAAAATCAAAATATTAGCTGGGTGTGGTGGCACACACCTGTAGTCCCAGGTATTTGAGAGGCTGAGGGTGGGAGGATTGCTTGAACCTGGGAGCCATGATTGTGCCACTGCACTCCAATCTGGGCAAAAGAGTGAGACCTTGTCTTAAATAAATAAATAAATATATTTGCTATGAGGTTCTTTACAGAAAATGTTTGTCATATCTTAAAATGACATTATAGGATTTCATTTCATTTCATATCCTCTTATTTAAGGCTAAAATGATCTAGCAAGTAAAAGTGCAGGATAGCCAGTTAAATTTGAATGTAAGATAAACAAGAAATTTTAAATTTCAGAAAATGTAAGCGTATATTTAGGAGATTCCTTACAAGCACAAATTGTGTCATGGTAAAGTCTGGGATTCTGGTGTGCCCATCACCAAACGGCAAACATTGTACCAACAGGTAATTTTTCAACCCTCAACTCCCCTCTCCCCAACTCTTCCACATTTGATTATCTCCAGTGTCTATGACTGCCCTCCCTCTGGATGCCCATGTGTACCCACTGTTTAGCTCCCACTGATAAGTGAGAACATGAGGTATTTGACTTTCTCTTTCTGCATTATTTCATTAGGATAATGAACTCCAGCTCCATCCATGTTGCTGTAGAAGATATGACTTCATTCATTTTTATGGCTAAGTAGTATTCCATGACATACACATATATCACATTTTCTTTTTCCAGTCCTCCGTTGATGGACAGTTAGGTTGATTACATATTTATGCTACTGTGAATAGTGCTGCAATAAACATGTGAGTGCAGGTACCTTTTGGATACAATAATTTTCTTCCCTTTGAATATGTATGTAGTAGTGGGACTGCCGGATTGAAGGGTAGTTCTGTGTTTAGTTCTTTAAGAAATCTTCATTTTTTTTGAGGTTTTAATTTTATTTATTTGGGTACCAGTGATTGATTCCAAATAAACCTTTTTACAAAAAGGATATAAGGTGGTTTATGGCTACATATGAAATATAACAGGATAACAGGTAGATGAGAAAGTAAAATGAAAAAATCAGGTTAGGAGACACAAAATAGACCCAGGGATGAGGCTAGAACATTTATAATTTGGTGTTGACGCTGTCATCTGATAGGGCATGTTGCTCATACTGTTGCTCTGAGGGAGTGCCTCTTGAGAATTTTCAAATAATGATGTGAAGTTTGAGGTATATATTTTAAATCTTTGTATTTTTAAAGTATAAGTATGTTCCATGAAATATGTCCAGATTATACTTAAGCTAAACATTGTTTGTTATGTTAAAAACTCAAATGGGGCTTCATATATAGAGGATATATATGTATATATATGTATATATGAATATACACATATATACACACACACATGAGGCCCAGGAAATATGTAGAGAATATATATGTCCTATATATATTCTCTGTGTGTATATATATCTCTAATATATATATGTCCTCTATATATATTCTGCCTCTGTGTGTGTGTGTGTGTGTGTGTGTTTGTGTCAGTATATATATAATACTATAGTCAGGTCTTGCTCTGTTGCCCAGTTTAGACTGCAATGGTGTGATCGTAGCTCACTGCAGCCTTGACCTCCAGGGCCCAAGTTGATCCTCCTCCTCAGCCTTCCAAGTAGCTAGGACTACAAGTGTACAACACCACACCTGACTATTATTAAGAAAAAAATCTTTTTAGAGATGTTGCCCAGGCTGGTCTCAAACTGCTGGTCTCAAGTGATCCTTCTACCGCAGAGTCCCAAGTTGCTGAAATTACAGGCGTGAGCCACAGCTCCTGGCTCAGTTTCCTGCATTTTATCTGGTAACCCTATCTAAGGTCATTCATGATCTGACTCCAAGAATCTTCTCAAACTTCTATTTTCTGCTATCCTCTTTACTACTGGTTGCTCCACATCTGGCCTTGACCAGCTAAGCTGCCCTGCTCTTTATTTTTTGTGCATGGGCTGGCTTTTCTTCTGCTAGAATGTCAGGCTGTGTGCAGACACTCCCTTCTTCAGGAGCATTCCTCTGAAGCCATGCTTGCCTACAAGAAATCCTTTCTCCCTCAGGTCCACACTATTTTATCTCTACTTCTGAAAATGGAACTTGGCAGTTTTGATATCATTAGGAAATTTTTCTCTACACTTATCTTGCCTACCAGTTACAATGAAAGGCTTTTAGAACAAATTAGTCCTAGTAGAATTCCAGACCACTACTCACTGAATGGCTGTGTGACCTCAGGCAAGTTGCTTCAACTCTGGGACCTTATTTGCTCCTCTGTAGAGCAGGATAAAAAATGACCCTGTGCTGTTGCAGGATCGAATTAGTTACTACAGTATACATGAGGACATATGACAACAGTTGGCACTTCAGAAGAATGGGATCCACGTGCTCTCCATCTATCCTGGAAGACATGACGCCTCGTACCAAGAAAGTGCTGAGTAAATATTCATTAAAAGAGTATCTTTAAATTATTGCTGTCTTTGATTGGTAGGTTAAGAGTGCTGCATACAATAAATAATCTTCATGACACAGAGCAGGAG